CAGGGAGCATTTGGATGCTTGAGGTTACAAACATCCCATAGGCTGTCTGAGGATAGATGAGTCCTCAAATCAACGCTTCTTTTCCCAAAAGCAAGTCCTAGGACAATGGTTTTGCTTGAGACACAGATTTTAGCTATGGGACAGCTGCATAAGTGCCCTAGGAGTTGGTCAGAGACTGAAGAGAGAACAGTCCATTGGAGCTAACTCACAGATACATGGGTGGCTAGAATTTGGTTTTGTTTTCTTTCTGTGCCCCCATCACTGTGAAGCTATTAATGACAGTGCTACTGGGCTGATAGCAATAAATGTGCCCTTTCTTTATTTTCACCTAATACCCATGATGGGTATTATAAATGGTGGAAGAGTGATTTCAAAAGATCTGCTCTCCATTTCTGTAGGCAGTCTCTACAGCAAGCTTCCAGGGCCAATCCTGCACTGGCTTCCGGAGTAACCAAAAGGGTATGAGATTGCAAGTAGCCTTTGTGGGCTTGCTGAGTAGCTGTTAATAGGTGGTACCAAATGGGACAGCAAAGGCAGGCATTAGTAGTAGTCTACCCTCCAAGACCCCAACATCTGCTGCATTTCCATGTGCTCCTCTCCTCTCCTCTCCTCTCCTCTCCTCTCCTCTCCTCTCCTCTCCTCTCCTCTCCTCTCCTCTCCACTTTAGTTCCCAATTTACTCTGTCCTGGCTGAACAGGATCACTAACTGCCTCTCCTCCGGGTCCCCATAAGCGCCCAGCATTATAATGTTTTCTGTAAGGTGGACAGGAGCTTCCTGCCAGCCATACACAGACCATTGACATCTTGGCATGCAATGTGTGGACAAATGTCAGGTATCACAGCCGTGGTGTGGATTTTGATCAGCAGCCTAAAGCTGACAGATTTTGTTGTTTAGCACTTATCCCCAAGCCATTGACTTCCCTTCAGCACTCCACACTCCTCACTCAAATGCTGGCATGTGTGTTTTTTAATTAAGCACTTTTTCAATGTTTAAGTTTGCTTAATGGATAACTGCTTGTTGGCTTTTCACTTTCAACTTCTTGTTTGCTCAGCAGTGAGGCATTTCATAATTAAAGCAAGATTTCAGTTGTTCCAGTATGCAGTATTTATACTTCAGAAAAAAATACCAAAAGAAATGACTGAATGACTGAAGGAAACACTTACAGTGCTTCTGACCAGAAACACTACAGTTCTTCTATTGCAACTCAAGCTTTTAAATTTAGCCATAGAAATTTCTGGCTCTTTTATGCAGCATCTCTTGCTGTTCACAATTTGTGATCCTTGTGAACAGCTCTGAGTCAGTTCTCTCAGTGTCAACACTTTGCACCCATTCACACCAAATGAGAATCTGTGCAGAGCAGCAACAGAGTGAGATGGAGAATAGGTGGTCATGAATCTATCTCACAGGAGTATTTTGAGCACCACCACCTTGACAGAAATACCCCACATAATGAAAAACCATGTTGAAAATTTCCTCTAAGCATCAGCTGGTAAGGTAGAGCTTCCTTGGCCAATTTAAACTAATCTCAAGACAGTCAAAGACATTCTGGAAAATGTTGTGGATGCCCCATCCCTGCAGGCATTCAATGCCAGGCTGGATGTGGCTCTGGGCAGCCTGGTCTGCTGGTTGGTGAGCCTGCACATAGCAGGGGGTTGGAACTGGATGAGCATTGTGCTCCTTTGCAACCCAGGCCATTCTATGAGTCTATGATTCTGTGATGGTAAAGACTGTGTCCAAATTTAAGCAGTTTTACCGATTTGCAGGTAGCTTGCAGAACAGCTCAGCAATGGCTCTTGCACCTTCCTACTTTTCAAACTCCTGTAGACAAACATGCATTGTCCCAGAAAAGAGTGCAGCTTCCAGACAATATTTGTCAATGTGAATTCTTTGGCACAACATAACTGGGAGCCTCTGAAGTTGATTTGGGATAGAATAAAGTTGGTTCTGTCTATATGAGTGCATGCATTTTTTTTCTATAGGATTGGAACATAAGCAGGAAAATTGAAGACTATAAAATAAAAGTAGATGTTTCACAAAATCATGGCTGATCAAAAACCAATGTCATGCAGAAGCAATTCAAAACCCATAACTATGTACACTGCCTTGCAACGCAGGCTGTAATCCCTCTCAAACAGCCTACATCCACATTCACTGAAATCAATGGGGACTTTGCCATGGGTTTCAATTGGCAGGGGATGTTTCCAAAACAGTACCAGAAAGATCTTCATTTGTAACTCAGTGTTTCACATTTCAAAAGATTGGCCTCAACTGTCCTTTAAGAACTTCTTTCTTTTTTTGTATGTCTTTCTTCCACCAGGCTGCACATTTACCAGCTTTAGTCCTAGAGATGCTCTTAGGAGCTTCTCCCAAGAGGACCAGAAACTTCCTTCTAATTTGCTTCCTTATTAAAATAACCAGAGCTTGAAATTTCCATGTCTTTTATGAGTCTTTTGCTTATTTCTTTGTCCATCTGCCTTTAGTAAGCAGCTCATATTCCAAAAACAGATGAGCAAGTGACTGTGGGTAAATGGAAACTAATTAACACTTCATTTAAGCTCAGGATGAAAAAAGACCAAAACCATAAAAATACAAACTTATATTAATTGTTCAGCAATATTAAGGAAGCTGAGGAGACTTGCTTTCAAATATTTGAAAAGGAATTCCTATGGACCTGTTATAGTTCACTTAATTTCTCAGTAGCTTTGTTTCTTGTTACCAGTTTTCAAGTGAGGTAAATAATACCCTTCTACATTGCAAAGGCATTTCACAGACAAATAATTTAGGGCTATGCTACATTTTTTTTTGATAGTTTACAATGCAAGTATCCCCAAAGGACCTATGCAGCTCCAAAGACAAGATTCCTTAGGGAGCACTCGCCTAAGTGTGCTCACCTAAGACAACTATGCATGAGAGACAATAAATGACAGAATCTGACTGCTAACACTTCATGAGATACACAAATGCTACGGGGACAGAAGCAGTAAAAGCTATAGAGCAATTCCATCTAAAACAATTCCACAGATACATTCCTATCCTCTGAAATACCCCTTGATTTCACTATTGCCTTTGCTTATTCTCAGACAGCTTATTGAAGACCTCTGAATTTTTGCACAGAGAGAGATGTAACCACAGACGCTGCTGCTAAATAAAATTACTGCAATGATTTCTGGATTGTACTTCTGAGAAGCACTGAGGAATGCATTACATCTCGGGTGGTGAGGATTTATTATAATAAGTGTCCTCACTGCTGGGAAAGCTACAGAAGTAATACGAGGCATCTTTAGCACCAAGCAGTGGTCTTGATGGAGTACATGCAAGCTGGAACACAGGGTGTGTGAGGTGCGTGCTGGGATGGGGCTGCCTTCCTCTGTCTTCCCAGAAAAGCTATTTCCATAGGAATGTGAGCAAATGACACAGATGTGATGGATCCGAAGGGCTACATGAGAAGCAGTGGTAAGCTGCTGGCTGTGCTCGGTGTGAAGCAGCTCAGCCTGATTGATGCAGGCTCAAACTGAGCAGGAGGACTTAGGGACTTAATAAGAAAGCGGGCACCTCCCACCTGAACAATTTAACAATTCAGTTTTTAATAAGCATGTACTGTGTTTACTCTGGGATGGCCTGATACCCCGAACTCAGAGAAATAAGCTATGACTTGCTATGATTTTCACCCAGAGGGTGGTGAGGCACTGGAACAGGTTGCCCAAGGAGGTTGTGGATGCCCCATCCCTGCAGGCATTCAAGGCCAGGCTGGATGTGGCTCTGGGCAGCCTGGTCTGCTGGTTGGTGACCTGCACATAGCAGGGGGTTGGAACTGGATGAGCATTGTGATCCTTTTCAACCCATTCTATGAGTCTATGATTCTAATATATATATGTGTGTATATATATATATGTTTGTTACTACCATCATATACCATTTGGACAATGGCACTTTCTCAAGCACATTTGCTCTCTGCAGGTAAAAATATTCAGGTTTGAAATACCCAATGTGATTAAAATATCTCTTTATTCATCAGGGGAATTCCAGTCCCAGTAAGAACTCAGTATTTGTGCCATGCTGGAACCTTACAATTCCTTAAAATTTACCACAATTCCAAAATATCAGGAAAGCAATGAAAACTCCAATTTAAAAAGCTAAAACCGATATTCACACCTCAGCTTTTCTTACACTATTTAGACCCAAAAAGGAAACTTAAAGCAGTAGCGCAGCCTGCAAAGGCAGTCTTTATTTGATGAGGTAAGCATTTAACAAGAGGCTTTCCCATGCAAAGTTTTGTGGGCTTTCATAGAATCACAGAATGGCCTGGGTTGCAAAGGAGCACAATGCTCATCCAGTTCCAACCCCCTGCTATGTGCAGGTCACCAACCAGCAGCCCAGGCTGCCCAGAGCCACATCCAGCCTGGCCTTGAATGCCTGCAGGGATGGGGCATCCACAGCCTCCTTGGGCGACCTGTTCCAGTGCCTCACCACCCTCTGTGTGGAAAAACTTCCTCCTAAAATCCAACCTAAACCTCCCCTGTCTCAGTTTAAAACCATTCCTTCTTGTCCTATCACCATCCACCCTCATAAACAGCCGTTTCCCCTCCTGTTTATAAACTCCTTTCAAGTATTGGAACTTGAAGGGACAATGAGGTCTGCTCGCAGCCTTTTCTTCTCCAAGCTAAAAATCCCAGTTCCCTCAACTCTTCCCCATAGAAGAGCTACTCCAGCCATCTGATCATGGTTTTGTGCTCATACACGCACACAAAATATATATTTTCTGAAAGAAGAGGAGACATTTCTGCACGGGGCACACGAGGGAGAGCAGCCGTTGTTCTCACAGAGGAGCGGCGCGGGACCGCCGCCACAAGGCACCGTCCACATACAGAGCGGCGCGACCGTTGGAAAGGCGGGAAAGAGCGGGGGGGGAGGGGCGGAGGGGGAGTGGGCGGGGCGAAGAGGAGGAGTGGGCGGGGCGCGCACGCGCAGGGGGGCGGGGCCTGGAGGGGCGGGGCGGGGCGGGCCACTCAGCGGCCGGGTAATGGCGCTCGGGGCCGGCGGCGCCTCCTCACGGGGGGTGGGAGAGCGAGAGGGCGGGGGGCGCGGCGTGGAGCGGGGACAAAGCGCGCGAGCTGCCAGGTAAGGCCGTGCTGTTGCTTCAGGGCTGGGTGAGGGGCTGGGTGAGGGGCGGGCGGCGCTGGGAGGGCTCCGTTCCCCTCCCCCACGCGGTGTTCTCCTCAGTGTGAGGGTCTTTGAGTCTTTTATCCGCTTCGAGCGGTTCGGCCTCGTTGTGTCCGTTCTGAGAGCAAGGGGGGGGTGGGGATGGGAGGGGCGAGAAAGAGAAGGGGGAGAGGGAGGGAAAGAGGGAGGGGGGGAGGGAAGGGATGGGGTGGGGCGGGGGGGGAGGAAGGGGGGGAGTTGTCCTACTTCTGAGTGAAAAGAAAGGAAAAATATATATATATGTATATTAAAAAAAAAAAAAAATAGGTTCTAAAAGCAGTGCCCCCTCCCGATGCGCCGAGGGGCTGAGCGCTGCTCCGTGTCTGCGGGCAGGTGCTGCTGAGCCGGGCGCCGCGGCGCCGCGCTGCCATGGGCGTGCAGGACCGACCGCAGTGCTTCTTCGACATCGAGATCAACCGCGAGCCAGGTAACGGCACCACCGCTCTGCGAGGTGGGAGCCCGGCATCTCCCAGCTCGTGTTGTCCCTGCGGAAAGCAGAAGGGCTGCCAGGGGGGTTTTAATCCCGCGCTTGCTGCTGTCCCACCCCCTCCTCTCCCCCCCGCTGCTGCCTTCACTTTCTTCTTTTCCTCCTTTTTTACCTATGGCAATCTGTGCGGGTTGACCTACCCGTTTTTGGAGGCAGCCTGTGTTAGTGGTGGGATGTTTACTCGCTGTTTGCTTTCTCAAAGAGAACTGATAGCTTTGGTGCGCTTTCACTTTCATTCTCTACTTCAGCGTCTCTTTGAAAGGCTTTGAAATAAGAGTTTGTCTCCGAGTTGCAGTTGTGTTCAAATACAGCTGTAAGCCCTTCGACTTCCATTTTCGCTTCAACCGAAATTGAAAAGGGTTTCAATGTTAACTCCAGTGGCTGATAAGGTATATCTGTAAATCTTTCATCTCCCATTTGAGATGCTCTGCTGTCTCAGAATACATTTTTGAACAGAGAAATATTAATGTAAAAGGGATTTTGATGTGTTCCCCTGGTTTAATTTCAGATTTACTGTGAAATCGGACAATTAAAAATGCTGTAGGGCGGGTGAGTTCCTGGCTGAGGAGAGGTAGTTTGATGAGATTTGATATATGAAGAGAATTCATGCTTTATCTCATTTGCTTTTAATCTTCAGAAAGAATTTTAGGTTTGACTTCTATGAAGAGCCTCCCTGTGCTGTTTTCCACTGCTCTGCCTTTATACACCCGTTTCTGCTCCCATTTCACAGTACCTTACCTCTTCCTCAGCCTTACGCATCACAAGTGGAAGTGACTTACCTTGTTTTCTCTCGTACCTTTTTGGATTTGATATCTGATAATGCTGCCAGAGAGGCGTTCGCATTCCTGGTGGTGCACAGATTAGGTTACCTGGAGTAGGTGCAGGGCTCTGGTTGTTGCTGCTGGTATCTGTTTTCTCTTTAAAGTGTTGAGAATCTCATGGCTGTACCTCAGGTTCAGAGCCCTGCTGTTTTTATTGCACTTATTGGTGACATATTTTTGCAGGAAAACCTGCTAATTTATAAAATATTAGTGCAGGACTTGAGTGCAGTGTGCTTACACCACTGCGTGCTAATGTCTGTTTATTAGCTTACTGTGCAGTCGTGCCTTAGGTTTTAAAGTTACGTTTAAAAAGCTTAAATAAAAAGCCCTTTTGGTTGTAAGTTGACCTTCAGAAGCTGCATCAAGTGTGAATAATGAAGCAGTGCTTCCAGACTACATGAAGCACTGACTGAGAGATGTACTCTCCTGCTGATACCACTGAGAAAAAACTAATTTTAACTTTTAAACTGCCACCAATCTCCAAATCAACATTTTGCTTATCTGACTTGACTTATAAGTAGCCTATCTCCTTGTTTATTAAATGTAGGGAGAAAGATCTGGACAACGAACAGTGCTGTGTTTTTTTGCTAGCCAGCAGGTAAAGCATTGCTCCCTGCTCTGTCTACTCTAAGAAAACTGAACTGGTATCTACAGAAAAGGCAGAGAATAAGAGGATGTGCCTCTCACACAACAGGAGACATCTCCTCACCTGCAGGACTCAAAACTGTGTCATGTTAAAATCATTTTAAAGTGTTGGTTCCTTGGAGTCCAAGAATGTTCCTGCACACAGCTACCAGCTCAGTTTCCCCTGCAGAGATTCACTTACCCAGGGGTTGTGTGGATACCCATAGCAATTAAAAACAGGAGTGCAGCTCATAGATGAGATGAAAAGGAGCTGCAAAAGGTGATGTGTGTGTATGTGAGAGGAAAGGACTGCGGAGTGCAAATTAGTTTCACTGGTTAATTATATCTGTTACAAAGTACAGGGATGAGTACTGCAGCACTGGTTGTGCTTTCAGGAAACAGCATCACAGCTTTTGTGCTTCTCAGCTGGTTAATTTTAGCTACAGAATGTTGGAATAAAACTTGTATGTCTTGTTTGCAGCACAGCAAGAGGCACAAACTGCTTTCTATCAGCATTTTTCAGTGTAATTTGTTATTTAGACTACTTCTAACAAGTTGCCACTTAAGTGTTTTTTATGAGTACGCATTGTGATTTATTTTTCTTCCTAAAGTAAATGGAGATTAAATAAGGAGTGAGCATTTATTTTGACACAGGCAGCAGCTCTCCCTTGTTTTGTGTTCCCGCATGGATGGTATGCAGAATTAAACTACGTGCAGTAAGCCAAGAATCTGGGGATGGCAGCAGATGCCTCTTGTAAATAATTCTGGCTTTACTCTGATGAAAAAAAATTTGCGTGGATCTGTTGTAATGGTCATAACACCTGAAGCAGCATTATGTTGCTGAGGTGTCACATGTAATGTTCATGTGGCCCTGCAATGTTTTCTTATCTCTCGCCACCCCTGCTCCTGATTTTGTCCATCAGAAGATACATTACACTTAGTTTTGCTTTGTTTCATTCCTGCTCACAACAGAATTTTCCTTATTCTTATCTATTTTCTTGTGTTTTCTGTTGTTGCTTACCCCCTTTTTCATTTTTCCTTCCACTTTAGTTTTTCTTCTTTGGGTGTGTCCCTCTCTTTATCAGTCTGTTCATAGAATCACAAAATGGCCTGGGTTGCAGAGGCCCACAGTGCTCACCCAGTTCCAACCCCCTGCTATGTGCAGGTCACCAACCAGCAGCCCAAGCTGCCCAGAGCCACATCCCGCCTGGCCTTGAATGCCTGCAGGGATGGGGCATCCACAGCCTCCTTGGGCAACCTGTTCCAGTGCCTCACCACCCTCTGTGTGAAAAACTTCCTCCTAAAATCCAACCTAAACCTGCCCTGTCTCAGTTTAAAACCATTTCCCCTTGTCCTGTCACTATCCACCCTCATAAACAGCTGTTCCCCTCCTGTTTATACGCTCCCTTCAAATATTGGAAGACCACAGTGAGGTCTCCCCACAGTCTTCTCTTCTCCAAGCTAAACAAGCCCAGTTCCCTCAGCCTTTCTTCACAGGAGAGGTTCCTTCCGCACAGCTCTCTCTCTGATCTGAACTTGTGTTAAATAGTCTCTGCTTACAGGTCACCATAGTAGTCCATCTGCATTAGTAGAACCAGGGAGGCCTTAGAGGGTCTTTAGTCCTATGGAAGCAAAAAGTTGCAGGTAGGCAACAGTAAGCAGTTAGATGTTTTGACTGCAAATCTATTGGCAATCCAGTTGGGTGTGATCTGTGAGTCAAGAGGACGTAGGGTAAGGGGAGCCCTTACTGGGGAGCATAAAGGCTGTAGAGCATCAGTAGCTTCTGGAGGGAACTGGTACTCAAAATTAAAATCCTCTCATAATACGGAACAGGGCGGAATGAAACAATGCCCAGTATTTATCTTGAGGTCAAGAACAAATTAAATTATTGAATGGAATACCAAATGGATGAGGCTTTGCTGTTAGGAGGAGCCATAGAATCGTTTGTCACTTGCATTTCTTTGGGAAACTGATGCTCACATTTTTGTTGTGAGCAGTGCTCAGTGTTTGCTTTTGTGAGGATGATGGAACACCACAGCAGGGGGTGGTTCCAGGAGTGAACCAGCAGAGCTGGCTAGGGGAGCCTTTGCTTGTAATGAGTGCAAGACAAGGTGAGGAAGCTCCATTAAAGCATGAATATGTCAGGATTTCTATAGTTTCAGCTCAGAGGAAATTTCCATCCTTGTAAATAATATTTTAAATACAGCCTTTTTCTACAGGAAGTTTTTGCTTTTTCTGAAGTCTGTAGCCATGCTTCTACTTTAAAGCAATGCTTTAAAATATTTAAGACTTTGGATTCACAAATCTACATATAGATATAAAAAATGTAAGATAAAAATGAATTCATTTCAGTGAGGTGTTATCTTAAATTGCCGTGCAGATTAATCTGAGACCTTTGGTATCTGGAAAACGTGTTGCATGTTTGTCTCCAGAGTTTGTTGCTAAAACAGGTTAAGCATCTAAATTGGGGAAAATCACTGGGTAAGTATTTGAAATAAGTGATTGTTTTCATCCTTCCAATACTTGAAGGGAGCATATAAATAGGAGGAGGAACGGCTGTGTACAAGGTGGATAGTGATAGGACAAGGGGGAATGGTTTTAAAGTGAGACAGGGGAGGTTTAGGTTAGATATTAGGAGGAAGTTTTTCAGCCAGAAGATGGTGAGGCACTGGAACAGGTTGCCCAAGGAGGCTGTGGATGCCCCATCCCTGCAGGCATTCAAGGCCAGGCTGGATGTGGCTCTGGGCAGCCTGGTCTGCTGGTTGGTGACCCTGCACATAGCAGGGGGTTGGAATAGATGAGCATTGTGGTCCTTTGCAACCCAGGCCACTCTAGGATTCTATCATGATTCAGTAATTTTAATAAGCTTTGCTAACAGGAGTCTGTGTTAAGTTACAGCATGCATGTTCCTACCATGAATTTTTGTCACTTCAGTTGAATCTAGAACTACTGCTTCTGTAGCTGAAGAATTAAGGGTTCAAAACCAAAACAGAAATATTTTCATCTTGTACTCACAAAATGGAGCTTTGAAACTTGCTTAGTTTTGGACATTATGCTGTCTGGTTTCTATAATTGATGAAGTCTTGTTAGCTACACATAACACTTCATGAAATCAAAACATCTTAGAATTTACATGTGCGTCATTTACTGTATTTAATTAATGGAACAGAAATACTTTTTATCATTTATTTCACTTTCTACCCCAAAATATCTAAGAATACTTTATCAAAGTATTGATTTATGATTAGCAAGTGGTGTGAAATCAGGATTGACAAAACCTCTGTGGTGGAGAAATGGGAGTCCCAATAACACTGCACTGTGCTATGGATGAATGCACCTCCAAAGCTGTGAGTGAAAGAGAACCATTTGATTGAGCACAAAATTAAAAGTATAGAAACGATCTGCTGATCCATTAGAATAAACTATTAGTAACAAGTGCAACTTCCTTGTGCTGCTGGAGGAGTTCATGCTGTGTTAGTGAGTTTTGTCATTAGGATGAGCCAACAGCTCAGTGTCTGTGGTTTAGTCCAGAAGCAGCACAGCCCATTGCAGGCACACCTGTTGGCAAACACTGGCTGAGGACTCAGCAGAGCTGTGTGTGCAGGCCTTGCTCACTCAAACAACTCTTGCGAACTATTGGTTTTGTTTTAAGGTATAATTTGAGCCTTACAGTACATCCGTTCCTCATTTGGGTAACTTAAGCTTTATACCAGGGAAATGAATCTGGAGAAATCACTGGCAACTTTCTCTATGCGTTGACAGTGGATTATTTCAGAGAAGAGGAAATTCAAGGAAGTCAGTAACACCTCAGGTGCCTTTACACCTTTGTTACACCAACTCATGCTTCATTCAAGGTTTAAAATGAGGCACGTTTATGTTTTCAAGGCGCAGCTGAGATTCATAAATTTTAAGCAGACTTTTAACAAACCAAAAATATGTATGTTCAGTGAACAGCAGCAACTTCATGTATCTGATCAGGGCGTTTGATCTTTGGCTCGTGTACTCAACTGTTTGGCAGCAGCAGATCTCACCTCTCAGTGCCAGTACCAGGTAAAACACAGGTAGTAGCCCAGCAGATGGATGCACAGTGTGTGGTTGGTGTATTTATAAACACACTGCAGCATTTTATATAACGGGATGTAAGAAGGTGAGCAGCACTTTGCGTGATGGGGAGGGGAGGTTGGCTTATTTTTAAAATGGAATCTGTAGTCTTCTGATGCCAGGTATGCACTTTGCAGTTTGAAGGAGTTGAAAGGTGTGATGAAAGGCAGATCTTACTGACAAAACACTGAAAGTCATGGTTCCCCGGAGGTGTTCAAGGCCAGGTTCTTCCTCCAGGAGTCACAACTGATGAGTGCTGCCTGCAGTGCTGCCTGCAGTGCTGCCTGCAGTGCTGCCTGCAGTGCTGCCTGCAGTGCTGCCTGCAGTGCTGCCTGCAGTGCTACGTATGTAGGACAGGAGCCTGCCATGGGATCGCTGCTGTGCAGTGCCTAGGTGCAGAAGGCCCTTCTGAAGCCCTGAGGTGGGAATGCCTCCTGCTCATCCTACAGCTGTCAGCTTGGGATCAACCGCTCTGCTCTTAGTATAGCGAGGATAGTGATGGTTTTCCTTCCCATGAAAGATATCAGATGCTATTTCACATAGGGAATGCAGGAGGAAAGGTGTGCCTGGCTCTCTGAGCACTTTGTCACCCCGCAGTTCAGTGCTTTTGCAAGCAGAGCAATGGGATTTCTGCTGTTCTGAATTACCGTGCTTATAATGCAAATTGACAACTTCTTCACTGTTTCTTCATTCTTTGAAGGCTGTCTCTACCCATGTTCTTGAGGTCTTTCTGCCTGCTGTAATAACGAATCCTCTGAGAATATTCACACTGCAGTTAAGGAAATAGTCGTTTCAACAGCTGAAGGCATCTTGGATTTTGTAGCTAATACAAAATACAGCTGGTCCCTGTGTTGTTTTTCATTTATTCCCATCTTTGTGATCCAAAAAAACCTGACAATTGTACTTGTTTGGACAAGGCCTTAAAATTGAATATCATTTCTTAGGAGCCTCTCCGAATAATACATGGTGCTAAAATAATGAACAAAATGTGTTTAAATTCCCTTTTCCTTTAAGGGAAGGGAAAGAAGTAATCCCTGAATAGTTCAGTAATTACACTGAGGTCTTACCATTGTGTACCACTAGAGGGTGGTGCACATTAATAGATTCTGGCCTTTCTGCAATGCTGACTGGCCATGTGGCATTTAACCCTTAATTTATACCTCACTTCACAGTACAGAGATAAGAACTGCATAATTCACAAAGTTATTGTTAAGGATTTCATACATCCAACTGTGTTTATATTTTGACTACAGAAATAGAAGTCCTGGAAATGTAAATCTCAGGAGATGAAATTGGAAATGTGGAACAGTTCTAAAATAGTTTTCTTAGTTCTTCAGTGTTGTAATCAGTTTCTAAGGCATGCAGTGTGAGCACTACCAGTGGTGTGGGAGTAGCTGTACTGAGAGTGGGGATTGCTCTGTTCAAACTGTACAGAGAGGCAGCAGTGTTTGATTCATAGTATTTGGCAACTGAAGCAACAGTCCTGAAATTGCTAATGCTGTCCCGCCTGTCTTTCATTTTCCCTAATTGAGTCATCTATTACACTTTCTGTTTAAACCAAAGGATCTTAGGCCAAGGGTTCCGTTGCATTTGTAGTCCTTAACACAGTGTGGAACTAAGATGCAGTTATAAAGATTTATTCATATGCTATTTTTCTTCTATCATCATAAAGAATTGTAAAACTTTCTATTTTTTTTTAATCTTTCAGTTGGTCGAATTATGTTTCAGCTCTTCTCAGATATATGTCCAAAGACATGCAAAAACTTCCTTTGCTTGTGCTCGGGTAAGTAGCATGCTTTTATTTAACAACTTCAATGTTTCTTATAACTGTTTCTTTAAGCGGGCATAAATTGTAGCAGTAGGTTTTGTTTTTTTTTTTCTGGTGAGGACAAAGCTGAGACTTGGTAGTGCTCAGGAGGATTTAGCACTGGAAGTAGCCTGGAGTTCTATAATGGTTACTGGGTTAGAGCAGTGGAGCTGCTACAGAATTCCAGAGTGCAAGGTTGTCACTTGGCAGAACAAAACGTGATCATCTGTTCCTCATTTGGGCTTCATTAAAGGAAATAGACACAGCTAAAACAATGGAGAAATTATTGACCACCCAAGTGACACACAGGGGGAAGATGAGCAGGACTTCATCAGGAGAGACATCGGGTGTTAATATCACTGCACAGTGCAGTGGTGACACTCCACTGGGCTCCGTGTAAAATTTTTATTACTGTTATACAATAGAAGTGTGTTTTGGGTGCATAGCAGTACAGCAGGGATCAAAGGAAGGAGTCTATTAAACTTCAGGAGAAAACTTTACTTTCAGCAAAGTGAAAGATGGAGAGGGAACACTGTTCCCTAGGAGTCCTGGGGTTGTGTGGTGGGAGAAAGGAAGGCAAGGATCTCTAAAATTGAAGACAGCACTAGCAAAAGAATTTCTGGGTAGAATCCAGCACCCTTTGACCCATTTTTTTTTTCTTTTAAGCAGGAATTAACTTTTTCACAAGATTTCTAATGACTGGAATATTAAGGGTGGTGAGAACTCAGTGGTTTTTTGATGCATGGGGCTCCTTGGTGGTTTTGCAACTGCAAGTTAGAAATCAGTTTTGATTACATTATTGCAGGAATCGCTGTGTTACTTATGCAAAGAATTTGTTCTGTGTGTCTTGGTGGTCTTGTCCTGTGTACCTTGAATTCTCAAAAAATATACCTTAAATTAACTGCACCAATTAAGGCTCTTTTAAAGTTAGCCAGTAGGCTGGCTGGTGCAGTGTCTGAGCCTCATGTTCTGTAGCTGTTCTTTTAATTCCTTTCAGTGGCTTTGCTGGGTTAAAGTTAGTTGGAGATCATGAGGTGTGAAACGAGCAAGTATTTAGCAGGAAAAAGAACAGTTAAAAAGATTTGACAGCTTTCTTTTGCATACCTGTATAACCCTAACCATTAATACCTGTACCTGCAGTACAGCTGACTGTTCACGTTTCATTGAAGTTTCCAGCTAGAATCTGCCTTTAGTTGGGAGAACACAGAGAGAGCCCTAAATCCTGAGTTCTGTCTAATCTTGAAATCAGATTCACAGACATAAAAGCTACCACAGACTTTGGTTTCATTCTTGCAATTTGTTTGCTACTGTGTACTCACAGGACAGAGCCATGATTCGATAGATGTCTTTTAAAAATTGCTGGTAAATACGTGATAATTAAATCATGAGAAAAATGCACATCATTTTTGCACATTGCTTATTTTGGTGTAAGCAATGATTAAGAGAATTAAGTTGTACTGTTTTTTTCATCTTGCCCCTAGAAACCATCTCTGCCACAATAACTCTCTAGATTGAATTTGGGATTCCTGAGATTAGAGACTCAGGTTGCATGGCTAACATGATGTTCTTGTTTGCATCAAGTACATCTGTGCTGCTGTTCAGTTTACTTGAGTTGCTTCCTAGGAACTGTTGCCTGCCTTTCTGCTTCTTCATGACAGGTTCTTCAGTGCATTTGTTACTGCCAATTTATCTGCATCATGCAGATTTTCCCTGCTCTATTGCACAGCATTGTACAAGCATCTATGAAGAAAATTTACTCTATCCCAGCCAAAACCTTGACAATAACCATGCCTTATTCTATGCCACTTACTTCATGCTCAGGTCATGTGCTCTTCAATGCATCCTCATTAATCACCTTCCTTGGATTAATACACAGATATTATTCCACCAGTGTATGGACTACACCTGTGAAATGTCCATAAACATCCACTGAGGTCTCAGTCCATGACTCAGTGTCTATGTGTTGTGATTACTTGGGGCAGAAGTGACCTGGCATTACTGGGTGCCAGAGCCATTTCAGGTTGGGTCTCTGCTGCACTTGCACTGCTTCCTGTGAGGCTCATCTTGTTTTAGCTCAAGCAATTCCTTCAATAGAAGGACTTTCTGTAAAATGCAAATCAAGTCATGGGTTGCAACAGTTTAAAGATGCATCATCTATTATAGTCACCACCTTCTTGCCTATTGGATCGGGCCACAGGGCTTTAGATGGCAGTGAACTCCTCTCACTCCTGCTCCAGCCTGGGCTTGTCCGTTGGCCATGGTCCATCCAGAGACCTGCTGGGTCTGCTTTATCCCTGGTTACAGATGCCTCGAGGTATTCTGACGTGGTCTTGATCACAGATGGTGCAAGGTGTGCTTGCTCCTGTATGGAGACTCATCCATAGGTCACAGTCCCTCTGACTTGAGTTTCCTCTGGAGTTCCAGCTGTTGCCATTCAGTACAGTGTGCAGGAATGGCAGTGAGGTGCTGTTTGCGAGCCCAGGCTCATGGCCTCTGCTATCAGAATGTTCCCAGGCATAGCCAAGCAAGATCATAAAAAGGCGAGCAAACAGCAAAAGAAAAAGCAGCTGCTAATGAGCACTGGACTGTAAAGCAAGCAGGCCTTGTGACAACCATGGGAGCATACCAATTAGCAACTAAAGAGCTGTAGCATCTATAAATTTGGTTTAGCACTTCAGTTCCTGATGATGACAGATGTGATTGTTCGTGCCTTGTGTTTGGATGCCAAAAGTCCTGTGGCTTAACTCTGCAGTCAACTCAGCATAACACAGATGTTCCCAGGTGGTATGGGGGAAAGAACTGGAAACGTAGGAGTGTGGGAAGTCATTGGTTGATATCAGGATCGTTTGCTGATAAAGCAAAAGCCATGTGCACAAGCAAAGCGAAACAAGGCTGCTCGAGGCTTCCCTGCAGCAGGTGGGTATTCAGCCACTTGAGAGCAGGGCTTATTGTGCAAAATGGTTTATCATAGGAACATAGAATGGTCTGGGTTGAAAAGGACCACAATGCTCATCCAGTTCCAACCCCCTGCTATGTGCAGGGTTGCCAACCAGCAGGCCAGGCTGCCCACAGCCACATCCAGCCTGGCCTTGAATGCCTGCAGGGATGGGGCATCCACAACCTCCTTGGGCAGCCTGTTCCAGTGCCTCACCACCCTCTGTGTGGAAAAACTTCCTCCTCATATCCAACCTAAACCTTCCCTGTCTCAGTTTAGGACCATTCCTTCTTGTCCTATCACTATCCGTCCTCCATAAACAGCCATTCCCCCTCCTGTTTATACGCTCCCTTCAAGTACTGGAAGGCCACAGTGAGGTCTCCCCAACGGTCTTCTCTTCTCCAAGCTAAACAAGCCCAGTTCCCTCAACCTTTCTTCACAGGAGAGGTGCTCCAGCCCTGTGATCATCTTAGTGCCGTCCTCTGAACTTGCTCCAAGAGAATCACAGAAACACCAAGGTTGGAAAAGACCTACAAAATCATGCAGTCCAACTATCAACCTGTAACCAATAGTTCTCACTAAAGAGCTCTACATCCTCCTTGTGCTTGAAGTTATTGGGAAGACAGACAAATGCCATCACTCCCAATGCCTCCCCATCATACCAGTCTTTACAGAGAAAATAATCCCTCTCAACTGTAACCACGACATTACATATATTGCCTCAGCATCTAAACTGAGCTCTCTGGATGAGGGTGCTGCCTGCTGCATAGAGCCAAAGATGAGAACCACGGCCAGGAGCAGTAGGCCAGGCTTAGGGATATTCCTGTTGTTCACAGTAGGATCCAGCAATGCTCTGGTACATGCTTTCTCCCCACCCTTGGGGGTGGGTATAGCATTCCAGTTGTGCTGTTACATTTGTCTAGATTACACTAGAGGACCTGCTGAGCAGCAGTTCTGGTGGGAGTTGAAGGTGCACTGATGAGATGGCATGGACTTTTGGCAAGCAGAACTGACTTGTGAAGGGCTGCTTTACAGTTTTAGAGTTTGAAGCTGCTAACGCCATCTTCAGCAACCAAATAAATTGCTTGATTCCAGGAGTCACTTCCACTTTCCACAGTGAAATTTATTCATGGAAGTTTGTGTTCTTGTCAGGCATGCTTCTATCTTTATCTTTGGTCTTGAGAAGAAATCTTTGAACCATTGGAGACTTACAGCATCGTTTCCTGGTGTTGACATCCTGTTCTAGTTGTATACAAGGACTGTGTTTATTTAAGAATGTACAAAACTTGTTTCAGGGCGAGGCGCTGTGCCCTAAGACCAGATCCCAGTGTTTCAAAAGCTGTGCCTCTGGCTGTGCCCCTGCTGCTTTCTGTGTAATCTCTGTGAGGCAAGCCAGGATGTCTTTGTCAGAAACAGGTGGAAGAGAGCAGGGTAATTCTGGCTGATGTTCTGCAGTCTGTCATTGTTGTCAGACACAGACCTGGCTACTGTGAAAGAATCCTGTCTGCCTTGACAGCAGAATTTTCCTTGCATTTAAATAAAAGCATCTGGACTTGCAAACTGGCATTTGCAGGTCTTTCAGTCAGTCCATCTGCCAGCTAAGCATAAGGCCGTTTGCTTTTTGGAGCTTTGTCAGGAGCTTGGCTTACTATCATCTCAACAGGAAACTGCTGTTGGGTACCTTGTGCAAAATATCTGAGATTAGGTTGGCAGTGCAGAATGTTAATAGGGCCTGGGACAGAACTTTACCTGCCAGACTCATGTTTGTGGGAGGCCAAGAAGCACCAAGCAGGAATGTATTTGCTTTTATAGTTAAAGGGTTCTAGCACCCCTCTAGCAGGGAGGGGTAAGAGCCTTGATTTTTTTTCAGTGACAATCTGCTGACTGTTTTTTGTTTAAACTTCATGCAGGTGAAAAAGGAATTGGCAAAACAACTGGGAAGAAGTTGTGTTACAAAGGCACTACGTTCCATCGCGTGGTTAAAAACTTCATGATTCAGGGTGGGGACTTCAGTGAAGGTAAAATGTGTTCTGTGGAGCAGACATTATCATCCCTGTGGTTATAATGTAACTTTAGAATACAGCATGTAAATATTAAAATGTCTTGAAAGAATTATCATTGGTTTTCTGTTTCTTTATTAATTGTTGAAATTCTAACGTTTCAGCTGAAGTTGATACTTTAGAAAGAATTCTTAATTTAAAGAAGAAAGCAGCCTTGCTAGACTTGATAACAGTAGAGCAAAATTCCAATCTAAACTATAATATTGCTGCTTTTCATGTCAAAAGATCTTCCTTGTGCCCTGTATCTTGAGGTCTTATAAACTGATCTAACGTATATAAACTGTAACTGATAAAATGGACGTGGTGGATGACTATCTTGTGTTGATGGTCAAGTGGAAGTAAAGATAACGTAGCTACTTCCTTATCTCATTGTGGTGGTCTCTCTGAGCAGGACAAGATTGTTGATGATGCCTACTGTTGGCTTTTTTGCCTGCTGTTGTATTTTCTGTTGCTGCTGCTTCAGCAAACAGCAGGGAGAATTAGCCTTTAGAGCCACGCTTCAGGCTTTCTAGCGTTCAGAGGCACAAAAGCAAGTCTTCATTTTCAATATTCTGAGTGTCAACAAGATAATGAACTGCATAATGAACGGTCCTGCCTTTTAATTAAGGGCCTTATGCTTAGCTATTAGTAACTGGCTGGAGTATCCTGGTGTGTTATAAATTGGCACACATGATGCACAACGCTTTTTATAAACAGAACAAAAGGTTTAATTTGTGTTTTTTAATGCACAGGTAATGGAAAAGGAGGTGAATCTATTTATGGTGGCTATTTTAAAGGTAAGAGCAAGTATATTTTTACAGATTCTCAATTCCGTTCTGAGAAGTCTTGATTCCCAAGATACTTAATGAAAAGAGGTCTACTTATAGATCACCTTTTGCATGAAACTAATATTGCATGAGAATTATTTTTATATGCATGACTTTCAGATAGTTTTATTTTGTAATATTTAACTTTAACTGACAATTAATTAAGGCTAACATTATTGGTTAAACATGACTTTCAGCATGGAGGTTAGGCAACTTTATTCATGAATAAACTCCTATCTTCCTGCCTAAAACTGTCAACATATTCTTTTGTTTATAGAGAATGTGGTCTTTTGCAAAATGAAAAGGTAAGAGACAAAAGCTCAGTAACACAAATTCAAACTCTGTTCCCTTGTACCTTCCCTAGTAAATACATAGACAACTGATACATCCGTTTGTAGATGGATATCTGTGTTGCTTGGAGAAATGAGGAGTTCTGTGTCTAACCTTTCTGAGGGTTAATGACTTATTCTGAGAGAACACTGGCATAATTTTCAGTTCTAAACAATTTTTTCTTCTTTTGTTAACGTCCCTTTTCTCCCCTTCCCTATTGAAGGTTTGTATTTTTGGTGTTCCTTTTGAAGTGTTTGTTTATATGCTACACAAGTTTGCTTTTCTTGCAAAGAGTTTTTAAATGTATATTTACCTCTTTTTAAAAACAGTTGTTGGAAGGAAAATGGTGAGTTTATGAAGTATTTATTTAAGGACATAACCTTCTTTCTTGCTACAACAACAACAAAAAAACAGATAGTTACTGTGGTATTGAAGTGTTAATAAGATGTTCCTAGGGTTTCTTTCTAAAGAGTGCACTAAAGGTGGTAAGTTCTAAACATGCAGTATTGTGCTTTGATATATAATCTTAAAAATAACAGCCTCTTATGCCCAAACTGTAATTTTTACCTTTGAAAAGGAGCTTCAGAACAATATCTGGTTTTGTACTGTGCCGTGCAGCCAGAAGTGCTCTTTAATTCCCTGAATATAAAATGCATGTTTAGTTCAGTCTTAATTGCTTTTCCATTGAGGTTGAAGGAAGAATGTATTCTTTAGATTCTCTTTCTGGTAGTCAGGGTTTTGTTTATTCTTGTGTGTTTTGGGGCATCCAGCTTGGAATGGATGGGTTTCTCTCTTAAAGTTCCATGCCAGGGAAATGGCTGTTTCACTGGGTGCCCATGAATAACAGTGTGGTGTACATGAGGGCTCGTTTTGGGATCACCTTTACATTCATTTTCATTAGAGATGTCCACAGCATTGCTGTAACTTTATGTATAAAAGAATGTTTTCTGTCTCATGAGTGTTTCTGCTGTAACTTTTGAGAGGCTCAATGTAGATTTCTGTTCTGTTTCCAACCTGTTCAAGTTTCTTTAGCAGCGGAAGAATTTCTCCTTGTAGTAGCCATAAGTTACTAAGAAAATCTGACTTGTGTTCCTTGTCAGGGAAAATCTGACAAACATATTTTTTCTTCAAACAGATGAAAACTTTATTCTCAAACATGACAGAGCGTTCCTTTTGTCAATGGCAAACCGAGGGAAACATACCAATGGTTCCCAATTTTTCATGTGAGTAGATGTGATTTGAAGGTTGAGCTTTTGTTAAACAGAGGAGCGCTGTTCATGAGAAAGATGGTATTGCTAAATTATCTCTAACGATGTTATCCACCTTACTTTGAATAGGCTTGAGTGGATACCTGCAGAGCTCTAATAGGAAACAACAGTTACCACGAGTTGCATGGGGCATTCCTTTGGGTTAGAAGTGGGTCCTGTGGGATTACTCCTTGTTCTTTGTTTTTTTTACCCTGAAATTATGGCTTTGCTATTGTGCTTAGTGTCCAAAAACAGATTCTTTGGTTTTGTATTGTACCAACCAAATCTTCACAGAGTGCTTGTGAATTACAATGCTGAGCATTGTACGTAGGAGGCAGCAAGGTCTATGATAAAGATGGCCTGTTTGTTTTTGCATATGCTATTTAAATGATTTCCCTTGAGAGACAAGGTTTTTTTTAATTATTTCATTCTGGGGAGGGGGACCTCATTTAGTTTTGTTGTTTTTCTGCTGGAGTTTCTGTTCCTGATGTAATTTTTTTTCTATACTGTTGAATAATACTGTTCACATGTGTACACTAATTGTCATGGTCCCAATGCTGTAGAAAATAATGTGCTGAAAATCAGGTTTTCCCACATAATCTTAAAGAAACAAAAATGAATCCATTCCTATATATAGCCACATCCTGTTCAATTGCAGAACACAACATTTCTGTCATGGATAAATGCTCAGGTGTGATGGCAGTCAGGCTCTTTTGATTGAAGTAGTTGCATTCTGGGTCCAGTATTTAACAGTTTGTATTTGGGAAGATGTGGTTCATAACTTTGGGCTGGTGCTAAGAACTTTCATTAAGAAACAATGCTGGTGTTTTTAAAATTAAATTCTCCTGTAGTTGCTTAGCTGTAAAAAGCTCTTTTTCTTTGCCATCTTTCTTGGGGGATGAGTGAATGGCGCTTCACTGTCTGCAGTAAAGGAGAAAATTCTCCTGAAGAGTATTCCTTTTCTTTTTGTTGCCTGAAAAAGAGCTTCAGTATGACACAATGAAGTTCAGATAAGAGGCATTTTTAGGTCTCTTCCTAAAGAATGCCCTAAAAATGGAAAATTAATAAGAAACCTAAAGAGAGTCTTTCACAGTTCCTACTGTTCTGACTTTTCAAAGAGAGAAAATCATGTCAAGAGCTTATTTTCTGTTAGCCTCAAAGCAACTTTTAGGTGATATGCTTCCTTACAGCAAATCTGAATGGAGATAGATATATATATACATATAATATATATATCTATATCTATATACACACACTAATATGAGAAACAACCCCTGTACAAAAAAGAACCTGTGGTTTAAAAAGCACTCTGCAGAACACTGCTTTGCTGTTTATCACTTGCTGATACATCTTTTGATTCACGTTACAATTTTCCATTTTTAAGCTTATCTGAACAAAATACATGAAAACTTAATGGTGCTACATCTATCAAGAAGCTGTCATTTGAGGGCTCTAAAGTTTCTTTTTGCTCCTGTATTTAATTCAGATGTCTTCCCCTTTCACTTTTAGCAGTAGGCTCAGCTTACTTGCTCAATTAAATTTAATGTACTTAATGAACATCCTGTCTCTCGCCATGCAAAGGAACATCCTAAGCTTGTGTTAGATGCTAAATTATAATTTACATAGGACAGTAAAATGTGAACAGTGCTTGAGAGTGCTTTCATTAAAGTGAAATTATTTTGAAAGGTACTTATATCCTTCAAAAATTCTTTTTCTTGGCTGTCCTGTAGCATATTCAAATGTCACCAGTTTACCTTAGGGTTACACAAATGAATCGTATGCAGGAGTAAATTCCCAGATTATCAGTGAGGTTTAGGTGAGCTGCTGTGCAAGTCTTTAATGCACACTGTAATGCTGTATACTTGTGTGACCCTTCTGACCAGGGCTTTTTAATGCATGCAGTAAATGTTGTTTGAGATATCCTTGTGTACTTCAAGACAGGGCATGTAGATGCAGTGGACCATCCACAGGACACCCAGCACTCCTGGAGCAGCAGCTGGAAGCCAGCAGGGGATAGCACAGGGCTCCGGATGGCAATTGACATTGTCCCTAGCTGAGGTGGCTTCACACTGATGGGCAGCAAAACTCTACTATGCCATGCTGTTACTGCCCTTCCTTGACTAAACAGGGAGAGAAAACATGAAGAAAAGCTCGTGGGTTGAGATAAAGACAAGGAGATCACCTGTCAATTAACCATCAGAGGCAAAACAGATTCTACATGAGAGAGATGGATGTAGTTCATGGACTACTGTCAATAGACTAGAGCAGTGACAACTAAAAGCCCCTTCCTTCTACTCACCCTCTTCCTCCTCGTGGCACAGAGGAGCAGGGTCAGTCCGTAATACGTGGCTTCTCCCACTCCTTCATGGTTGCTCTCTGTCCCTGCTGCACCTGGAGATGTGCTCTGTGTGGTGCCCATGGGCTGCACAGGGATAGCCTGCTCTGCCATGGGCCTTTCCTGGGCTGCAGGGAGCTTCTGCTCCATGCCTGGAGCACCTCCTGCACTGACCCTGGTGACCCCAGGGCTGCTTCTCTTATTTCTCACTCCTCTCTCCCATCTGCAGTTGCACAGCCTTTTTTATTTCTGAAACCTGCTCTCCCAGAGCACAACCAGTATTGCTTATGGCTTAGCTCTGCCTAGCAGCAGGTTGCTTTTGGAGCAGCTGGAGCTGGCTCTGATCTGGCATGGAGCAGCTGCTGGGCTCTGCTCACAGAGAGCAGCTCCCCACCACCAAAACCTTACCTAATACTTTTGCAGATGCCTTTTTTAATATAATCAAGTTTGTGCATTTAAGCTGAATGCCAGCATTGGCCTCCAACACTGCAGCTTATCATGGGAGTGGGTGTGATTACAGCATCCATAGGAGAGTGCCCCATGATGGCAGATGTGCATATATACAGTCAGTGAGAAGGTCAGGTTCATTTTCAGGAACTTGATCTGTGAATAGTAAGGATGGATGGTGAAACATTAGACCAACAGTCTGTATTGTTACACACTTTTTTTTTTAAATGGTGGAGCTTGGTTTCTGCTTCATAGTATATAGTGTTTGGATTTCAAGATTCAGAATAGGAGACAGCTACTAAAGATGATATCTAGACAGCTACTAAAGATGATATCTAGTCAGATCTAGATTCCGACTTAAGACTTGAGAAAGTAATATATTAAAGCAGTTATTCTTGCTTGCTGACATTTGTGTGGTTACTTTAGGGAATGTACTGTGTGTTCCTACAGATTTTCTTTAATAACATAACTTACTTCCTTTAAACTGAAATTAAAATGTTATACTCAAAGGAATGCCCAATTCTTCAGCAGTTTGTGCCAAATGTAGCAAATAGGGAATGCAAGTAAGTTAATTTGTAAGTCTTTGTTCAGCTGAGATTGAAATAACAGGGAATCTTGAATATATGTCTTTATTTGCTCATCAAATGCACTGTCCCTGGTTACTGCACTGAATGTCATCAGGAATGACTATCTTTGTAGGAAGTAATCAGGCAGTGAATCTCCTTGACAGACTGCATTAGCAAACTGGTCACCATGGGACTCAAAGTCATTAAAACGTGATCTGTGGTGATCAGTGATGCAAGTGAAGTTAGGGAGTGTGAGTGTAGAGCTGGGGGAATGAATGCAAGGCATCGCTAGGAGCTGGCAAGGTGCAGAATTAGAGCAAAGGGAGCACATATATCATAGAATGGCCTGGGTTGCAAAGGACCACAGTGCTCATCCAGTTCCAACCCCCTGCTGTGTGTAGGGTCACCAACCAGCAGCCCAGGCTGCCCAGAGCCACATCCAGCCTGGCCTTGAATGCCTGCAGGGATGGGGCATCCACAGCCTCCTTGGGCAACCTGTTCCAGTGCCTCACCACCCTCTGGCTGAAAAACTTCCTCCTCATATCCAACCTAAACCTCCCCTGTCTCAGTTTAAAGCCATTCCCCCTTGTCCTATCACCATCCACCCTCATAAACAGCCGTTCCCTCTCCTGTTCCCTTCAAGTACTGGAAGGCCACAATGAGATCTCCCCACAGCCTTCTCTTTTCCAGGCTAAACAAGCCCATATCAGAAGTGCTATGTTTGATGCTCATTGACTATTCCTGTTAAAGAGAGCAGTTGGGTTGAAAGGAAAGGGCTTAGCTACAGCAGGATTGGTTTTTGTGGATATGTGCTTCAGATATGCCAGGCCTGTTCATTCATGTCTGTAGAAGCACTCCCTGCTCTGACAGAATGCATCATGCTGAAATGATGAGGGATGCACAGGCTGTGTCCTTTTTTGCTGTTGGAGTTGGAGTTTCAATTCCCTGTAACCAAAGGCATCTTTTATAGTGTTCTATTGCATGATTGTGTTGAAAACAGTTTTAAGACGACTGTTTATAAACAAGCTTTTGATATTTTCAGGTAGCAGCACTGCTTATTTTTCTATGAATTGATGTTTTTCAGAACCGTCAGTTACTTAAAAAGTGTTCTGAAAACAATATTATGTTTATCCTTTTTTTTTTAACTACCTCATTTCCATGTTGATAAGGAATTTCTTGGATGGGGGTAGTTTGATAAGAGCCATGCTAGAATCATTTTCTTTTTCCCTGTAGTCCAGTACCCATTTTGGACTGTTGCTGAAAGTTTTATTATTATTATTAATTTTATTACTGTTACTAATGGGAGTGAGGGGTACCTCCAGAGCGTTATACAAATGCAGCTTATGTCTTCATGTCACTTGGTTAGAGCTGGAGAGATGGTAAGCCTGTTCTTGGATGGTCAGCGCAGCAGCTGGGTTCCTGTTGGGTGATGCTTTTTGCAAGCTCCTTGTTGAGCTGATCTGATGAAGGTTCCTTGGCTCTTTTGAGCACCTGTTGTGCCCGTGGCCCTGCCCAACCTTATGGGAAGATTGTAATACAAAATAAGTGCACCTCTCATGAAAGTGATTATAGAAAGTAGTATAGAATTTGTGAGTCTGTTGACTTGACGGGTGCACATACTCAACTTTTCCTCTCTGAAGTCATGCAAAACCATGCGTTTACTACAGAAGCAGAAATGTGAATGTGCAGAATGAATATAGAAGCATAAAGAAAGCAGTGGGAGTCAAATAACTATCCAACTTCTTAGTTGTCATTTGGAAGCTTTTGATAGTAATTGAATTACTGCCTTGTTGTTTAGTTGTGTGTTAGCTTCAGTAATTGAGGAATACGTTCTTTCTGCAACATAAAGAAGAGTCCCAGGTTTTGTTCCTTACCAGCTCAGACAGTGTTGAGTTCTTGCCTTTGTGTTCAAAAGCCATTTATTTAGAACCTGAGGCTGTTTTGATATGTTAGATTCCCACCTCGATATTGAGATTATTGTCAGTGTAATGTGTCTCCCAAGCTCCTTTCCCTTTCCTCAAAACTAAACAACCTTTTGGTTCAAACATTCTTTGAATGTGTGGTGTGCCTAGTTACTGAATGTAAATAAACTAACCTCTTTGAAATGCTAAATGATAGATGAAATCAATGATGAGGATTTTACAACTGACTTCTGAATGTCACTGACTTCTCAAAAGTGCCTCATATCTCAAGGTTTCCAGTGTGCCACACCAGGCGTTTTTCTGAGCAGCTGTCCCTTTTTTCTTTCTTGCAGATGAAACAGCTTTGAGCTGATTGTCGTACAGTTTACAGAGATACAAAAGTGAACAAAATCAATGGAAGGTGCTGATTTTGCAGTATTTTTGAGCAAAAGTGCTGTTTGTGCACTTGGCACGCAGGCAGATCCCAGTGGTTGGATTGAGACTGACATGGAAGTACAGCCCATGCAGAAGCATTCACTGGATGCTTGTATTTGTAGTATGTTACAAAGGGATCGTTTCACTTTCTCCCTGCTTAGATGCGTGGATAATTGCTGATGCATTTTTTTAAATCATTGCTACCCTTCAGAATTGCACCAGCATCAGTTGGTGTGTTTTTTCCCCTTAGTGTCTGCAGTGTTCTTGTTTCTCTACACTTCTAAGCACAAGCTTAGTAACCATTCATGTATTTTAGAGAAAGCAGCTTTTGTCTTATTACACAGAACTTTCATAGTACAAGGAAGATGTAAGTTAATTATGGATTGTATAAAGCTGTGGGCTTACCAACACCTTCCATTTGTAAATCAAAACAGTTAAGGGCCTCCATCCTATGAAGCACACGCATAGAATCATAGAATGGCCTGGGTTGAAAAGGACCACAATGCTCATCCAGTTCCAACCCCCTGCTATGTGTAGGGTCACCAACCAGCAGCCCAGGCTGCCCAGAGCCACATCCAGCCTGGCCTTGAATGCCTGCAGGGATGGGGCATCCACAGCCTCCTTGGGCAACCTGTTCCAGTGCCTCACCACCCTCTGGGTGAAGAACTTCCTCCTAAAATCCAACCTAAACCTCCCCTGTCTCAGTTTAAAACCATTAGGGCTTGGTTCCACTGAACACAGATGTAACCACCAGCACATCAACAGACCCACTGAAGTCAGTTATTCTTTTGCTTAACGTTGTGCATGTGTTCTAACACTTGTGCTGGATTGAGCCTTTCAGAGGGGATTGGGAGGATTCTAACAGTTTATCTTTCTCATAGTTTATGCAAGGAAGTTATTTCTGTAGTTTTGTGTTGTTCAAGAGAACTGACTGTAGTTTTCAAAGTGCCTTGTATTCTAAAGAAAATTTAGAGCCCTCTTTTTAGGCATCCTTGTTCTGCATACAACTTGATTAATATTAATTTTGAACTTGTATTTAATAAAACATAGACTCAGTTTTGTCTGAAAATGTATTACAATTTATTTCTGCCATTTTTGTGTAAAATTTACAGAAACAGTGTTACATCGTGCGCTCCAAAGGTAATGTCTCATTCCTCTAAGGCTGTGTCCTTTTTCTCTTTCTGTTTTTAATCTTTCTTGTTTTTCTGATCATATTGTTATGTGCACTGAGGCCTTTGCTAGGCCTCAGGTTCTTGGGGGGGGTGGGCAATAACACGCTTTTACCAAAAAGATGCTCTTCTCTTCAGCAGTACCTTAAACCAATTTGCATTGCTTTGGATGAATAGAGATATTTGTCCTTCTGCAAATAACTTGGAAAATAGTAGCTATTTGTCAATGTTTCATATTATCAAACTTCTGTAGAGAAATGTTTTAATGAAATACTATTTCTTGGGAGGAAATGATCATAACTCTAAGCTTCTGTAGTGCCAAAGTAGTAAGTAGGTTTTGTCCTGATGGAGTTTTATGGTCAAGATTTAAATGTTCAAGAACAGATAGTTTGACATGCTCTAATAAAGTGCAAATGTTTGCAGGCTAATTGCAGTGCTACAACCCTGGCCTTGAGATGAGAGAACGTTCAATAGAACAATGAGGAGTTTGGTTTCTGCTTCCCTTTGGAAGTGATTTAAGTTGCCTAACTCCTTTTGCATCTTGAAAGTTTTCTTCTTGGTAATGCTTTTCTGTGTGCTTTCCTATCAGAAGCAGGCAAATGAGAAGAATACTGTCCACTTTTTCTATCGGCACAATGAAAAGCTAAGTGGCTTTACCAGTGACCAAGCTTTCTTGTCAAGGACTAAGTTGAGTTAAGATGAGTTAAATAGTTTGCTCAATTGGTCTCCAAGTGCTGCTGCAAGGCACGGCAGGAGCACATTGCTCCAGCATTCATATCAGGGGTGTCTGAACTTGTTGCTTTCTGTAGCTGATTCTAAATGCTGAGTCTCATTTACTGTTGCTTTCACTGAAGTAACCCACTCCTATCACTGCTTTAAACTCCGCTTTATAATTATGCCTGCTTACAGTGTTCACTTAACAGCAGGTCATTATTGCAGTTAATTTTACTGATAGAACTTCCAAAGCTGTGAGAATGTTTCATTTTGCAGCAAGATGCTGAATTAGTGAGGGAAAAACAAGGAATGCCCCACTGCTGAGAAATGAAATGTCTTGATAGCATCTCTTTCCCTGCATATAAGCTAAAGAGGTTCTCCATAATATTAGGGTTATGGAAGCAGGTCTGGTTGGTGTTTGGAGCCCAAAGAAATCAGAGTGTAAGCACTTCTGATGGGCACTTCCACCTTTTGCATGCATGCCAGCACTGCAGCATCTTGTCAAATAATAGTTGAAAGTAGAGTACAGCCGTGTGCTTGAGCACTATTTTATTATAGCAGTGAAAGCCTGACTTCATTGTACCAGGTCTGTGTTACTGTAAATGTAGAAGCATATACACCCTGTGATATTTTTATACTGGGGGAGAGTAATACAGTGAAAGGAAGCCAGAAAGACAAGGTAGTGCCTGGGAAAGAGAGGAGGAGAATACTTTCCAATAAGAATTTCAGATATAAATGATTCTGATGAAGTAATTTGCTTTCCTTTTTAGAGAAGAGTATAGAGAGGTACCAAGTCATACTGTTACTATCAAAAAGTTGAATCTTAAGATATCTTTACAGGTGCACAGCCTTGAATATTCAATTTAAATCCAGCCTGGAAGTTTAGTGTAGCTGCCTCCAATGCCTATTATCAGAGTGCACAAAATGTAATGCAGTGCCATTTCCCTTCAGGCTAGAAACTGCTAAATGTGGGAACCTGAAAAATAGAAGGCAAGTCTGAATTTATCACAGAAGTAAACTGCAGGGCACCATGTAATGTCTGCTTGCACTGTGCTGCTGTTGCTTTTGGGAAGCCTGTGAGCTCATCAGCTGAAGTACTTTAGTCCTGGCAGTTAAAGATAGTGCTGCTTTGTATCCTGAGTCATGAGGCCAGTCAAGTAGGTGGAAATAGGAAAAAAAAAAAAAAAAAAAAAAGCAAAAGCAAAGAATCTATCACATATGATAACTCTGTTTTCCCATTTCTTTTTTAAATAAAACTGACTCCAAAGTGACCACGTAGCGTAAAAACAATCAGAGAAACATGTAGATTTCATTAGTTGCCCAGTATTTATTTCCAAGTTGTATCTTCTCTGTGAATAAAGATGTTAGTTATATTTAGATGTGTATTTAAAGAGACTTGAATATTTTTTGTTGCATGCATGAAATGGTATTTGGTACAACTTTCAAGTATGCACAGTTAGCTAAACTTTAAGCAAATTTTGATGTAAAAGATTAAAAAAGAGCCTGTGTCTCTAAGCTGTAAGACTTTTTAAATTCCATGATGTAACTGATTTTTTTCACTATTTTGTCTTACCTTCACCTTTTTTTTTTTTTTTTCCCCGTGCCATTCTTCTCTTACTTCATCTGAATCCTTGATTTTTGTTTTACCATCTTACCATCTTGCTGTTTGTCAAACAGAACAACAAAACCTGCTCCTCATCTTGACGGGTAAGAATATTTCCATTTCTTCCGTGATGAATGAAGTTGAGATTTCTGATGAGTCTTCACATGTATTGGAAGTAGAAGCATAGAATCACAGAATGGCCAGGGTTGGAAGGGACCTCAGGGATCATGAAGCTCCAACCCACCCACCACAGGCTGGGCCACCAACCTCCATATCTAATAGCAGCCCAGGCTGCCCAGGGCCCCATCCACACCTGCAGGGATGGATGGGGCATCCACAGCCTCTCTGGGCAGCTGTTCCAGCACCTCACCACTCTCACACGAAAGAGCTTCCCCCTGACATCCAACTGAAATCTGCCCTCCTTCAACTTCAAACCATTTCCCCTTGTCCTGCAGTTATCTACCCTTTCAAATTGTTGATTCCCCTCCTCTTTGTAGGCTCTCTTTAGGCACCGAAGGGCTGCAATGAGGTCACCCTGCAGCCTTCTCTTCTCCAGGCTGAACAAGCCCAGCTCCCTCAGCCTGTCTTCATAGGGGAGGTGCTCCAGTCCCCTGATCATCTTCGTGGCCCTCCTCTGGACCCTCTCCAACAGCTCCCTGTCTTTATTGTACTGGGGGTCCCAGACCTGGACACAGTACTGCAGATGGGGCCTCAGGAGGGCAGAATAGAGAGGAACAATCACCTCCCTGTCCCTGCTGGCCACCCCTCTTCTGGTGGAGTCCAGGATATCATTTGCTTTCCAAGCTGCAAGTAGAGATCAATGGGAAAACAAATGCTTAGTTCTGTGAAAGATTACATAGCAGAAAAAGATGGAAAATTAAAGTTTGAGTTCTATAAAAATTCCAAACTACAACTTATTTCCTAAAGTTTGAAAGTTTGGAAGGCTCCAAACCTTCCATACTCATTTATTTAAACCTTAGCCCACAGTTCAAGTGACAGGGTAATTGCAAGAAGGAAAAAGAAGTGTGGTATGGTAGAGCTGAATTAGAGATTCATTAATTATAACTGCCTTCAGTGTTAGTGGGAACGTGCATGCTGAGTTTGCATAGACCTATAAATGCTTCATCTCTGGGGAAAGTGACAATTTGTGACTATCTTTATTTCATCAGCCTGGTGCTCAGCATTTCAAAAATAGAAGGCTTGGATAGAATTGATGACCTGTTCACAGTGCCCATTAGAAGAGAGTAAAATGGTATCTAGTTGAAGCAAAACACAACTCCTGATCATGTTGCATGAAATCTTAGCGTTGCTGTCAATGTAAAAGTAATTTTGAAAAGCCTTGTTTTTAAATGTAATATTTTTAAGAGCCAGATGAGCCCAGTGAAGCTGAATGTTTCTGGTTGAGAATGACTTTTTAAATCTGAAATTCATTGGAAAAAGATTACAGCAATATATAAATGCTTGTACTTCCCAACTGTTTTATTTCTGCAGCGTACACGTTGTCTTTGGACTGGTTATTTCTGGTTTTGAAGTAATAGAACAAATAGAAAATCTGAAAACTGATACTGCCAGTAGACCCTATGCAGACGTACGAATTATTGACTGTGGGGTCCTTGTTACAAAACCAGCAAAAGATGGTAAGCATACATAAGCTGAAGTTAATTGAATGTTGACATTGTTTTCAGAGTCTAAAAACTATGCCAGCATCTAAAAATCAGTGAATCTATCAAATCTTAATTTGGCTCTAATGAGTCTTCAAAATTTAGAGGTTGGTGTAGGCAAGCAAGGCACGGGAAAGGAGGTTCTTTGACCTCAATCTTTGTGCCTTAGAACTTGCATGTCTGCTTCCTCTTCTCCTTAATTAATCTTTGTGTTTAACGTTGTACACTCGAAAAGTAAGTAGAAGTTATTTTTCAGAGCTTGAAAGATAGTTGTACAGTCAGAAGCTTTTCTTGATGGGGGATTTTGTGCTGTTTCTCAAGGCTTATTTTAATGTTAATATGTGCTGTAAAGGAAGTCTACTTGATTTTCATGAGAATTCATAGGAAATAAATGATCTTAGGTGTGTCTTTAGGGAATTGTCGTAAAATGTGAATTGTTTGGAGGTAAGATTGTTGTGTTTTTTTCATTTCAGTTTTGTGTTTCTTCAAGGATAGCGGGGTTTTTTGTCCTGTAGAGAGGAAAGAACATAGAGGAGGAGGATGCAGAAAGGATACCAAAACTTGTGATGTAGAATCACAGAATCCTTAGAGTTGGAAGGGACCTTTAAAGGTCATCTTGTCCAACTCCCCAACATCTGAGTGTTAACTTCACTTACAGACCTCCAGTGCACACCTTTAAAGTGCTTTGGCTTTTCAGTGATGCATCTTGCATGGCAGAAGTGGTGCATAGAAAATCTTACAGTTCACTTGCTAGCAAACAAAGGGATTTTTTTTCAACCATCCTTATTGAAAAAATGCGTGATCTTATTATAGTGCTTTATGCTGGATGCAGTAAAATTCACATAAATGTACTTTAGCAGACCTCACTGTGAAAGGTTTACACGCTGAGCTCCTGGAGGAGTATGTGCTTTTACATATGTAAAGCTGTATACCTTCTGTATGTACGCAGGCTACATGTACACACTGTAAATTTAAAATATTTGTTTCTAAGCTTTGGAGAAGAAGAAGAAAGTGTGTTCTGACTCAGAAGCTTCAGACTCCTCCTCCAGTGGATCAGACCCCTCAGAAACTTCATCTGAAAGTGAAGCTGAAGATGAAAGAAGCAGAAGAAGAAAGCGTAAAAGAAGAGCTAAAACCAAACAGTCAAGAAAACGGAGGAAGGAGGAGAGGAAGAAAGAGGATCTGAGAAGCAAGAGAACCTCAAACCAAAGATGGTGACTAGTTTCTTAAATTTAAGAATTTCAGGGAAATTTGAGAAACTTTCCTTTTTCATGAACTACTCATGCAATTAATCTGAAGGTGCTTTTATTCTGGAAGTTTGGGCTCCATCCTTCCTTCAGCATAAAATGAGTTAATGAAACGCATTTTGTTTTCGAAGTCATCTGACAGCTCGTTTCATCATGTGGGCTTATTTTGGGAATTCACCCTGGAAAGTGGTGTTTGTCAGTTGATTCTGAATTATAACCTTACTTTTTTCCTCTTAGCAGCCTTTCTGACAAGAGCGATGTAACAGAAAAAACAGTGGATGTCAGCACAAAGAGGGATAAGCCTGTGGTACGTCCTGAAGAAATTCCCCCAGTGCCTGAAAATAGATTTTTGCTGAGAAGAGATGTGCCTGTTGTCAGTACAGAACCTGAAACGTAAGGAGCATTGTTATCTAATTATGTTGACTTTATTGCTGGAAATTATGCATAAAACTTTCCCACTAATGATGTATTTCCAGAACTTATAGCAAATAATGGGTGTAGTATCAGCATTTCTAGATCAGGTACTTTAAGCATTCTACTTTGAGTATTTCTTTGGTAGTTTCCTTTCAGAGTGGTTTGGGTTTTTTTTTTGTTTTTTTTTTGTTTTTTTCAGTGAAACCTCATGAATTCATTTCATTGAACTGTAAGGATCATGCATATCATGGCTTTAAACTCAATTACAAACACTGCATACATTGTTCATTAATTCAAGAGGAAATTTTGCAACAAAAAACACTAAATATGTCACTGCAAGGCAAACTTGAGTGAGAAAAGTGATGTCTCAGCTTCTTAGACTAAAGGGAGAAAATTTAGTGCAAAATCAGTGAAACAGAGTCCTAGAAGCAGTCTCTAATTTAGAGAACAGGAGACTGGTTTTGTGGAACCAAAGTCATGCATTCCCAACTTACTTCCTGTTTAGCGTGCCTGATAAATCACAGTTTTTTTCTCCCAAATTTCTTCACTTTTGAATTCATATGGGCACAGTCCTGAACATATGTAAAAAATTTAATCCCTTTTTTGTTTTTTTCTTTAAATTTGGTTAACTATATAATCTTTTGTAAGCTTTTTCTTGAAGTGCTACACATTTTCAAAGCCTTATCTGCTTCTTTCAAGGATGTTGTACAACCTCTATAAAAAGGAATGCTGAATTACCTCTTGTTGCTGAGGAAGGAAACAAGGTTTTAGAACTTGTGGATTGTCATGAGCTGCCATTCTCTATGCTGAGGCATTGTTGTGTAACAGCCAAGATCCTGAAGCTATTCTTTCTGTGTTGTCTTAACAATTTGTTCACCAAACACAAGTTAGCCTATTGAGAAAATCCACTTCAACAGCTTCAACAGAGTACTTTGCAAGTTCATCATTAGCATTTATTTATCAGGAAAGGAAATCAGACCTGCTGAGCAGGCTGAAAACCAGTGTACGTATTGATTTGCCTTTCTCTACAGATCTGTGCGTGGCTGACTTTTTGGAATATCATTCACTAAATTCTTAGTTTTACCCTATCAAAGTAGATTGTGAAGATATTTTGCATGATTAATATTAGTTTTAGGTTGAAATTAAAATGGTTATGTGTGGGTTTATTTGTGTAAGCTCATATTTTATTAATTTATGTAGGAAGCTTCTTGATGCTACTCCAGTTCTAACTGACCAGAAACCATCAGTGTCTAAATCTGGACGAAAAATTAAAGGAAGAGGCACAATAGTATGTGATTTCCTTTTTTCTTTCCTCTCATCCAGAGTATTTTCTCTGACCTCGAACTTTGAATTTCCTTTAAGGCTCTGTGTGATGTTGCTGCTGTTGTTGACTGCTGTAGATTCAAGCTTAGAAGTTTGAAATATTGTTTGTTAAGTACTTCATTTTAGAATACTTTTTCCCCATCCTTCTTATTAATGTCCTTTTTGCGTAAACACTGTTTGGGAAAACAAATGCATACTCACTCATGAGTGGTTTCCAACATAAGAAAGCTTCAAACAAAAGAAAATTATTTATTTCTAAAGACTGAAATTAATTCAGCAAAAAAAAATCATCCTAGTTGAACCACAAGATCTGAAACAATGAGAAGTGACATGAGCTTGCGCTCTCATCCCCTTGCATTTTCTCAGTGTGCCTATGAAACACTGGGGCTGGAGTAGAACCAAAGAAAAGACTCTTCTACAGCATCGGATGCATAAACAGCCCTTTCTGATGCATGTTCTGGTGATTGTGCACACAGTGCTGGGAAGCAACAGTATTGCTAGCAAGTTTGGCAGGACCACTTAAACTGTTAGTTCTGCTTTTTGACATTTGAAGTATATCTTTTGTTTCTTTTTTTTTAAGCTACTTAATGTAGCTTGTCAGATTTCATCTGCTCAGCTACTTGAGATGGAGCCCATGTAGTTTCACAGGCAACACTGGTGGGCAAGAAGTTAGTTTTTTGCATTGCTAGTAGAGAAGGCTTTTTTACAAGTATACAGACTTGGTCCATTTATTTTTCTGCCTTCCTCTGTGAAGACTGTCACTGTTAGACTTTTTTTCTGCTTCAGTGCTCTGGTAACCTCAAGGCTTTTGCATTAGTGCCATTCTTCTTAAGAAAAGTTTTCTTGTCTCTTCTTTTATAACCTAAATCACAGGCCCAAAACACTGTTGTTTTTCAGTCAATAGAAAAGGGAGAGAAAATAAAAACATCTTTCCTAAATGTGCATTTGGTCCTTCAGTGGATGACCTTAAGTATATATAATGATTAATCTACCTATCTAGCTGAAGACACATTTCACTAGGATGGCTTTAGCCAAGACTGCCCTGAACACGATTTTTCTTCTGTCATAGCACTGCATTTGAGGAATATCTTTTTAGCTTTGCATCCTTGTGAAGCAAAGATTTTAAACCTCAAAATTATTGGCTGATGGCTCTAAGATGAAACAAGGTACTGTAGTGGTTGGGCTGCAGCTGAGTGCCTCTTCTTCCCTTATTTGCCAGCCTTGACATTAAATCTGATAGCTGTTGTCCTTGATACATCTGACAACTTTCATTTGTATTTGACTCTTGTGATATCCATTAAAGGAAACCTTTGAAATACAATGTTTTGAAATATTTATGTAAGCAGAGATTTCTGGAAAACTAACATAGCACTGAGTAGAATTGGCTTTTGCTAGGAACTTGGGTGCCTGCATCTTGTTTTTCCTAATTTTGGCATCCTCTCAGGAAAAGTAAGAGTGACAATAATAAATAATATCAGAAATAATTTAAGCCTAGCAGTTAGAGGAACGTATTTTCTGCAACCTCTAGTAGTTCATTTAGCCAACAGCCAACTTCTCAAGGTGCTCATTTGTAGTTTTGAATTCTCTTAGGTTCCAAAGGGGGAACAACACCTTTTTTTTTTTTTCATTTTTTTTTTTTTTCAAGCAGTCATTGCTTCAGAAGAAAGAGTAGGGAATCTCCAGGTCTCAATGTCAGATGCTCCTTGTTTTCTTACATGAAGAGAAAGAGGCTTGAGAGTTCTGCCTGAAGTTATCTGAATTCTGTATAAATCAATACATTTGTCTTTCTCTTTTTGTACTGGCAGACAAACTGTTGTTTGTTTTTTTCCACATACTGTTCTACTAGTGGCTCAAAATAATTGAGTAAAACCCAGAAGTTTTTCTTCTTTGTTAATTGGATTGAGGAGCATCTAATTTCCTCATATGAGTTACTTAAGTGTGCATCCTACTGGGTAATGGAAAATAATGAGTTAGCAATATTATGAGTGCTTTGCTGCTGCTGCAGGAGAAGCTCTTGTTGCTCATTTGAGTGTTGTGACTAAGCATCATTTTTTAGCATGAAGCTTCATTACACTTTTTAAAAAGATTTTTTGCTTGTAAGATATTAACCTGACTGCCCATTCCTGAAGGGCTGAACAGCAGTGACTTGAAATAGAGCTCATCTTAACGCTTAGAAGAAATTTAGTGTCTATTAACTGAAGTGAAATGTCTGTTCTTTAGTATCATGGGGGAAAGCAGTTATTCAGTTATCTGCAGTAATTATGATGCACCAAAAGGTGCTCCATAAAGGGAATTTGACTTCTTCCTAAATTCTTCCTTTTATGTTTAAAAAAAACCAACACCATCCTGCTCAAGCTTTGAGAACTGCCCTCAGAGAATGAAAATACATGTAGCTATGTAATCTGGTCTCACATGTAGGATATATGAGTGCCCAAAGTGGATGTTTTTGGCAGAGGATTCATAATTTGTGTTCTTTGTGACAGTTTGAGAATAACATCGTGTGGTTTGTGTTATGAAGATGCATGCAAAATCTTTATGAGGCACCATACACTTATGTATTGTTCAGACTTCTTTAGAGGAAACTAAATTCTTGAATGACTTTTCTTTACCTTTGCAGCGATATCACACCCCACCTCGATCACGGTCATGTTCTGAATCTGATGATGATGAGAGCAGTGAGACTCCTCCTCACTGGAAAGAGGAAATGCAGAGATTACGAACATATAGACCACCTAGTGGAGAAAAGTGGAGTAAAGGCGATAAGTAAGAGCTTTAATACAAATACATGATGTCTTTTTTTTAATTATTTCTTTTAACACAAATTGGTTTTGTAGATGTTGTGTGTTGTTCTTTTTTGGCTAAATAAAATTTGTAAAAATATCTTTGTATTTGGCATCTTTCCATTTCTAACATTCTGCATTTGAATGGAATCTTTCTTAAAGCCTTTCTGGTTCAGATGAATGCATGCTGAAAAGGCATAATGTCATAGAATAATTTTTTTCTGTTGGTGCAATTGGAACAATTCAAAATGCAGTTTTCTAATAGCAAATGCAGGAATTTTTACAGTTCTTAAGCTTCATTAATTGCCTTGGGGCAGAGGTGGAGGGGAAACACAAAGTTTTTAAAGTAATTTTCACTTAATGTGGTGCTTGCTTGTTTTTTCAAGGTTAAGTGACCCATGTACAAGCAGATGGGATGAAAGGAGTGCATCACGGAGATCAAGATCTTGGTCACATAACGGCTACTCTGATCTGAGTACTGTGAGATACTCCAGTCACCACAAAAAGCACAGAAAAAAGAAAGTGAAACATAAAAAGAAGTCTAAAAAGCAAAAGCATTTCAAGAAGCACAAGCAAACTAAAAAAAAGAAAGCATCAGCTTCATCAGAGGTAGAATCCTCACGTTCATTCAGGAAGAAAAAATCATCTTGTGATCGTGAGAGGAAATCTCGTTCTTCTTCATTGTCTTCTAGACATTCATCCAGAAGAGACTGGTCTAAATCTGATAAGGAAGACCAGAGTTCATCAACTTTCTCAAGCAGAGAGAGTCGGTCATACTACAGGTCCAGGTCCAGATCCAGATCCAGATCTAGGTCTAAGTCAAGGTCTTATTCCCAAAGAAGTTCCAGGTCAAGATCAGCCTCTAAATCATCGCGTTCTCGAAGTAGGTCAAGATCAAGTTCTAACCCTAGGCATCAAAAGACTGTTTCCAATTCTCCACGAAATATTTCAGCACGATTAAATGAAAGTAAGTTGAACAAGCCTTCTGACCCTGTAAGAGCAGTTATACTACCAAGTGATAAAGTCGTCATCCCACCAGTTGTCCCAGAGACCCTCCCTGTAATACCCTTAAGTGATAGTCCTCCACCTTCAAGGTGGAAGCCTGGACAAAAACCATGGAAGCCATCTTATGAGCGAATTCAGGAAATGAAAGCTAAAGCAACCCATTTAATACCCCCCCAAACTAATTATAATTTAGTAGTTATTAAAGAGGCTAACACATCTTCGTATCAAAAGCAACAGGGGAGTTCTGATAGCGATCGAAGCGGCTATTCCAAATATCGTAGTGATAAAAGCTCAGATAGTTGGCAGAGATCAAGAAGCAGGTCCTCTCGAAGTAGGTCATACTCCAGATCTTACACAAGATCTAGAAGTCTGTCTAGCTCAAGGACAAAATCTCGTTCTTCTGGCAGATCACCATCACCGAACAAATACCGCAGTGACAGGTCAGGGTATAGTGAGTCAACATCCTATTTTTCCCTTAGTGATGATGACAGGCACAGAAGCAAAAGAAAATCTGCATCAGGTGATCAGAACGCTCGTTCTCTGAAAGTGAGGCAAGAAACAAGCTCTGAAAGTACCCTTCCTTACAAGGATACAAAAGACTATGATGAGTCTTCTCGAGGAGTGAAAGAGAGTGACAGTTTATCATCTTCAGACTTCTCTACTGACAGTGAGCGTTCTGGTAAAGTGAAGGGAGCCCAAGAAAAGGAAGGCCATTTTCAGTTAGAAGGAGATGCTCAGCAACAGGATAAAAATACCTTCCGTTCTGTGAGAGGGGAGGAGAAATCCAAGTGTGAATGGGATGGTGATCATTCTAAAAAGAAAGCAGTTAAAGAGCAATCTTCTGAGCAACCTAGAGGTGGTGCAAAAAGTAAACAGAAATCCTATTCATGTAGTAAATGGGACTCTGAGTCAAACTCGGAAAGGGGAGAGGCTCATCGTGGTAGGGGAGATTCCAGACCCTCGTCTGATAAAGAGGAAGGAGAGGCCACATCAGGATCTGATACAGAACTTAGTGTTACCAAAAGGAGAAAAACAAAATCCAATTCCTCAGAAGGTGTTCTGGATTCTGATAGTGCATGGAAAATAAGTAAACAGTTACCATCTTCAGAATCTGAGAGTTCTCATTCTAACTCAACACATACCAGAGGAAAGTCAAAAAAACACAAACACGAATCGAAAAAAACTCTTAAAAAATCACATTCCAAAAAAGTAAAAGAAAAATCCAAAGGGAAAAAAGAGAAAAAACACAAAGTTCAGAAAAGAAAAGAAGTGTTTCACTGGCAACCCCCACTGGAGTTTGGTGAAGAAGACGAAGATGATATAAATGAAAAGCCAGTTATCAAGGATGACAAAGAAAAGCAACTTACCACAGCTGTGAAGGATAAAAACCAAGAAGCTTGTGAAAAGGATAAAATGGTCAAAGACAAAACAGGAAATGGTGAAAAACCTTGTGCAGATGAAAACCTGCTAGTTAAAAATACTACTCCTGATGCCTCACCAAATCAAAATAAACTTAATAAAGATAGCATCAATCCAAACACTTCAACCAGTATATTAAACTCAGGAATAAATGTGAGTACTTGCAATAATGAGAGTAAGCATGCTGAAGAAAGCAACCAGAATGGATTGGATGTAATTCAGACAGATGACAACATGGAGATTTGTACTCCAGATCGTAACTCACCAGGGAAGGTGGTTGTGGACACTTTGTCTCCTGTCATTCTCACTGATAAACCTCAGAGTTTAGGTGCTAGTATAAACAAAGATTTACAGACCTCCGAACAAGATGCTGTCAAACCAGGAAACAACATTGCAGACTTCATTAATATTAAAGAAGAAGTAGGTAGGCAAGAAAATAACTCCGTTCCTGCGTCCAATGCTAAAGACTGTAGTTTGAAAAATGAAATTGCTGAAAATACACAAAGCAATTCAGTTGATAACAAATGGAAGCCCTTGCAAGGTGTTGGTAATCTGCAACCAGCTACAATTAGTACTGCCACAGAAGTCAAAAGTGTGGCTTCAGCACCAGAGGCTAAGCCTGCAGGTTTGAGAATTGAAATAAAAGCTAAAAATAAAGTAAGGCCTGGATCTCTGTTTGACGAAGTCAGGAAGACAGCACGGCTAAATCGAAGGCCAAGGAACCAAGAAAGTTCCAGCGAGGAGGAGTCTCCAAGTAGAGATGACAATAGTCCATCCAGGAGCCTCAGTAGGTCTCGAAGTAAATCTGAATCTAAATCCAGACACCGAACACGGTCTGAATCGTACAGTCACTCAAGAAGTCGATCCCGAAGTTCTACATATTCTTACAGGTAAAATGTTTGTGTGTTCACAGCCTACCACGTTAACTTTTCCAGTATTCTCAGGCATGTTTTTCTTTCTCAGCTTAAGTTTTTCTTTTAAGGAGTGCTTATAATTTAGTGAGTGTGGAATATATATTTAGTATTAAAGGTAAAGTTCTGAGTGCTTTTGCTTTTCATTTCCTTCTGCTTTTCACTTGTTATGTTCTATTGAATGTCTAAAGTTGTTCACTGTTTGCAGGTCAAGAAGCTATACAAGAAGCAGAAGTAGAGGCTGGTACAGCAGAGATCGATCGAGAAGCCGAAGTAGTTCTTACCACAGTTACAAGAGTCGTAGGTAAGTTTCTCTAACAGAGACAGCATTGAGGTATATTAACAAAGCAGTAAATTATGCCCAGAATTCTTGATGCTTCCATCTCAGAACAAGTTGGAAGTGGGCTTGGCCATATCTGATACAATCTGACGCATCCTCTTAAAAGTGCAAGTTAGAATAGTCATATTTTGTAATTTCCTATTATTGAAAAGCAGTTTGCTTTAATGTCCAGCAGTATGGGTAAGGAGTTCTGGAAAATAATATTCCCCTCTGCTTTTTTCCTGTTGGGCCCTGTTCTGCACTTGTTCCTGATTACCTTAATGTGATTTGTTTTTTCTTTGTTTGTTTTCAGTCGAACCTATAGTAGAAGCAGATCCAGAAGTAGTTCTTATGGTCACCACAGTCGATCCAGGTATGGATAGTAGTTCTGTAACAACTCTGAAATAAACATACTGACTATAAAAATATCTTAGTATAAGAATACCCCTTTGTCTGTAGTACTTACAATTAAACATCTCGTGACAGCAACTTCAACCCAAGCAAAATCAGCGTAAATGAGACACTTTGAACATAACCAAATCATGTCATAAATAATGGTGAACACGTTTCCCTTTTTTCTTAAAATGAAATTTGAAATATAAATTAGGATAATTTTGTTAATACTTATGAAAACAAGTTGTTTTCCTTCATGGGCCATTTGTACTGAAAAATCAGAACCTTTTAAATGCTTAGGAAGTCTTGCAGCCTTTCAGTACCTAAAGGGAGCCTACAAACAGGAGGGAAATCAACTCTTTGAAAGAGTGAGTGACAGCAGGACAAGGGGAAATGGTTTTAAGCTGAGGGAAGGGAGATTTAGGTTGGACGTCAGGGGGAAATTCTTTACAGAGAGAGTGGTGAGGTGCTGGAACAGCTGCCCAGAGAGGCTGTGGATGCCCCGTCCCTGGAGGTGTTCAAGGCCAGGTTGGATGGGGCCCTGGGCAGCCTGGTCTAGCATTAGGTGGGATGGTTGGTGGCCCTGCGTGTGGCAGGGGGGTTGGAGATTCATGATCCTTGAGGTCCCTTCCAACCCTGGCAATTCTGTGATTCTGTGATTCTTTTGAAGATACTTAATTCTGACATTAAACTTCTATGATAACTTAGTATTATTTTGTTTTCTTGTTGAAATTATCAAATATAATTTCTATACAGTAATTCATTTCTTTGTACATAAATGTCTTTAAAAACATGTGTTTAACACAAATGGCATTCTAGATCTGTGACTGTAAATCAACAGTGGCTTTCTTTTCCCTTTAAAGTAGGTCATACACCTATGATAGTTACTATAGCAGAAGTCGAAGTAGAAGTAAAAGGAGTGACAGCTATCGAAGATCGAGAAGTTATGACAGAAGATCCAGGTATGTTATTTACTTGCATGGCTTTAACCCTGTATTTATGCAAAAAAAAATCACAAAGTATGTAGTTAAGTTAATGAAAGCTAATGTTTTTTTTCCAGAATATAAAATATCTTGCAAAAATGGCCATGTATGGTCAAAATAAGCACTTTTTTTTTAAAATAATCCTTCCCTTAGGTGTTTTATTTCAATCCTGCAGTGAATTAGCTTTCAGGATTTAAACTGGATACCCTGTCATGGATTAAAAGCTACCTAGTATGCAAAGAATTCCACTGGATGGTGAATGCTTTTTGGCTAGACTGTGAAAGTGGATTTAAAAACAAAAAGTGTGCAAAGGAAGTGGAAGAATTAGTGCTATCCAGAATTAATCTTCAACTTCCTAGAATGTGTTTTGAAAGAATGTTTCACCAGTAAACCCAGCATGCTTTTTGTATCAGCGTTTGCACCATTATAAGTTTAGGATAAATTACCCTACTCAGACCAGGGGAATTAGCATAGGTGTAAGTGAGCACGTTTCACCAAGATCAGGAGTGGAAAGTGAGCTTTATATAGTGAGTAGAGTTCAGCAGTGATTAATTCCATACCTTTTAATATTTCCCTTACTAGTCAACAGTAAGTCAGGCAGATCTCTGGCTACTATAAATTTTCATTTTTTTGTTCTCATACTCATTTTTTTTTCTATGACTTTGTATTAACTCTTAATGGACTTTGCTGTCACCCATTTTGCCATCTAGTTCTGACAGTAGGATGGCTTTCATCATGTATTTGAAGGAAAATGAATGAGATTAATGAGTGTGAAAGTAGTCCTTCAAAATTACTGTTTTAGGATGTCTGGAAACTTCAGAGAAATGCTGCTTGGTTAGGATATGCCTGCCTTGCCCTAGCAAAGCTTTCCTTGCAGGCATGAGGCTTGAAAATTTGTGAGAAAAGTTTATTCTGTATAATTTGAACACTAATATAAATTGAACACGTCCTGTGGCTTATCAGAAACAATCCGAGTGCGTGGCCAGGTGCTGAACTTGGAACTCTTGGTTTGGATAAACCAGAACATTTTAATCTATTTCTCTCCTGCAGTCTCTCACACACTCCTGTTACTGTTGGGCCTGATTTTTCAGGCTCTTCTCCAGACTTCAAATTGCAATACATAAAGCAAGGGGACAGAAAATCATCTCGATTGAGAAATAAAACTGTATTTGTTAGAATATGCTGCTTAGTCAGCTATTAATGCTAACAAAAACCTAATTGTTTGGGGGTGACAGCTTTCTTCAGCTGTACTGAAGAAAGGAAGAATTGTTATGGTTACAGACACAGTTTGACTTGACTTTCACTGGGTTTTCATCATGTGAAGTTAATGACTATTTTAATTGACTGTCCCATAATGTATATTTCAGTTGTTATATAAGATATAATGTCTTGTGCATCTCTTGCCAATCTTTTTAATGCAGCGCAATTTTGAGTTGAAAATTCAGAATGCAGTTTTGAGGCATTTTAATCTTCTATTTGTAGGTCTTATGGCTCTGATAGTGAAAGTGATCGCAGTTACTCCAACAACCGAAGTCCCAGTGAGAGCAGCAGATACAGCTGAAAATGTTTCTTCGGCAGTGGAAACCATATTAAATAAGTTGATCAATGTTACATTTAGAAAGAAAAACAAAAAATGTTTTGACAGTGTTGCAAGTGAAGTTTGGAAGGGTGTTTCCTGAGCTAACTGAGACCTTCCCATTGAGCAGTGAACTCACTTGACTGATTGTATCCACAAGGAGAGATGTACCGAAGCTCAGCTGATTTGTTTTATGTCAAACACTACTTTCACAATACTGAAAAAAGTTTGATTTCCTTGAATCGTATTTTCCAAGCCATGAGAGTCACGTGAGTGAGTTTGCTGACACTACTTTCTTGGTGCAGCAGTTGCTACTGAGGTATGTTTATAAACACCATAGGGCTCTCTGCCTGTTACTATTAAATATATGCTAGCAACTCAAAAACTGTGACGGACTTCTTACAAAAGCTGCCATTTCTAGTTTGTTAACATGCTTTTTTTAATGCTGGAAGATGGGTTCCATGCTGTCTTGTTTGACCGTTGCATTATATCAGAGGGTATATATACAACAGGTAGGTGGTGAAAACAAGGACTGCCACTCTGTCTTAATCCTTTCTGTACTGTGATACTGCAGAAGTCCGCTCGGAAGGGTGAGATTACACACAAGAGAGTTGTGAGCAAAAGTGTGATGAGTGAGTTTTGATCTTAACATCCAACCTGTCCACACTTTTGCATTTAAAAGCGAATTTGGTGATAAACAGAGGTGTTCTTCAGAAGCTAAAGAAGTGTTTTGAAGCAGTCCCATTTCGATTCATCTTGCAGTGCTAGGCGTACTTCAACACATTCTGAAGTCAAATGTAAACAGTTGAGTATATCATGAATTTGTTCAGGACACTTCTTGAAGTCTTAACTGACAATAATTTTCAAGGAACCATAAGGATTCCTTTATAAACTTGCCTGTAGATGTGTCCCCCTTTGCCATAGGAATAGCGGTGTGCAGGTACTGAATTACCTCTTGTCAAAGTGGTATGATATTAGAAATGCTCGTATGCCTGAAAAAAGCATGAAAAGTACTTTCAAAGTAACCTTCAATACCAAAAATAACTTCATATTGCAGTTAAATCGTTCACAAAAAAAAAAAACAACAAAGATTTAAAGCTGAAGAGCATAAATTTTTGCAATATTCTGATTGAGCTGATATAAAACCATTTGTAATGTTTTTCAGTGTTAAGAAAGTTATATACTAAGAAGCAGGTTTTTTTAATAGAAAATATACCCTGAAAAATGGGGTCTGTAGTGAAGAAACAGACTAATGTAGCTTTAGTAGAGCTAACGAGTACTGTTGTATTATAATAACTTTCATTACTGACTTTCTGTAATTTCTTGAGATGTTTTAGTTTTCTTGAATGTTCTCAAAGATTGAAAATGATTTTATTTTTTTTTTTTAATCAAGATCAACATCCTTGAAAATTAAAAGTAATCATTTCATATGGGATTTTTGGTTGAGAACCCCAAATTTAGCCTTTGGTACGTGAAAGCAGAAGGGAAGTCTGAAGACTGTATCGATGTGCTGCATGTGAACAGCTGAGTAATATTTGTACGCAGGTCCCTGAGCTTGAATTTGTCACTCCACTTTCCCACCTTTCCAGGAGGACCCAGAGCTCTGTGCTCAGACACTCTTGTAACTCCATGAAAAACTGTGCACGTAATCCTTCCAAATCAGTAGTTTGTAAGGTTCTCATAAATGTATTTAATGTTAAATTGCATTTCTTGGATAATTATGTTAGCAGATCTCTTTCTAACGGAGTAGCAGCCATTTCAGAGTCAGAAACAAATAATTCTTTGCTAACTCGAGATAATGTTTGTTGCAGTCCCATAGTTTGACATCCTTTGTTACTTCCCTTACACGGAAAATAGCACTAGTGGTCTGACATTGTAACAAAAGATTCAAATATAAGCATTGCCACTCAACATTTCTTCCAAGAAAATTGCCCCAAAATCTGATTCTGTCACGTTTCAATTCTGAGTTGATTGATCATTAAAGCCAAGAAAGGGCAGGGAAATAGGAATGTGGTCAGTCCCAAATTACTGCATTGTTACCAATATCTGTTTCGTATCTTGAATTCAAGCTTTATAAAGAAATTCCATCTGGTAGATGGTTGGGGGAGGGATGTGAGGGAATTGGAGGGCAGTATTTTTACTTAGTGAATTCTGTTCAATTGTGCTCCAAATAGAAAATGCACCACTGAGCTGGTTTTCTAATGTTGGTCTGTTTTTGCAATTTTGTTATTCAAAAGTAGTTGCTGTTTATAAAAATAAACTTTTGTACATATCTGAAAATGCTGTTTTCTCTACATCTGGAAAAATCCATTGCAGCTTAAGGGAAAAAGGAAAATGAAAATAGTGCTTCGGTTTTGGTATCCGCTTGTCCGTTGCAAGGCTGCAAGTTGCTTTTCCTTCTCCTGACCTACATAGGAAAAGATTCCTCCACAAGGCTCTGCTCGGCGTTTACTTAACAGTCGGAGGAGGAACAAATATTTTGATATTTCCAGGTGATGTGAGGTCTCAGCATTAACTACTTTGCTCAATATTCTCTCCCAAGTATGCATTCCCGCATCGTTTCTGTAGCATATTGGAGATGTGGCATTGCTTGAAGTCAGCAGATGCGGTGGCTCAGCACACAAACCTGTCAGTCTTTCAGACCTTCTGTTCCAGAAGAACTGGATTTCGTTGGATATGCTGGCGTTGCCCTGACGGAAGGGCTGATTGTCTTGGTTTGAGCTTTACAAACTGGATTTCCCTGTGGGTGAGGACAAGGGGAAGTTGTTTGCTTCCATCCTTGACAAGACCTGGATATCCTGGCCTAAGCACAAGCTTAAGAGCATCGCTTTTGAGAAGACACAGGCATGGGATTCCTTGCTGTTGGAGAGGGGTACTCCGGAACCTCGCATGCTTTCACACCTGAAGCACTGCTTGCTGCACGTGTGGGGCTGAGCTGAGATCAGGCCATCACCTCCCACTGCCTGCATTGGTAAAAATAGAGGAGCTGACATCCTGCTGTGCTTCCTCCTGGGGAGGTATTAAAAAGCCCTCAGACTTGCAGTGTATCCAAGGTAGCTATTACTGGACTACAAGAAGAGATCTGGGGGGAAAATAGAGGGCAGGGAAGGAAGCTTCTCGAGAACAAGAAGAGTTGAGCTGTCTGGCTATGAGGTGTCTATCAGACGAGCAAATAGTTCTTACAAAGCGTGCATTTACAGCGCAGCTTTCCTGCCCTATCTACATGCAGAGAGATTGCATTCCTGCTGCTTTATCGCTTTTGAACAAGGGTTATTTGTGTCCTTGTTCTCGAGGGTAAGGAGCGTTTCAAGTGCTCTTTCTGAAGATCCCCGGGTATCCGGCGGTGTATTAAATGTCTGTGGCTGGCTTGGTGTGTTTTGCACTGGCTCTTACCAGCGGGAGCCCGGCGTGGTATTTAGATGACCTTGAGCTGCACTCTGCAATCCATCTGGTGCAATTGCCAAACCCAACGCTGCCTGGGATTTAAATCACGAGAAGATAAAGCTCTGCGTGCTCCTCCCCTCCCTCTCATCCATATAAATAATTTTTTGTATATACGGCTGTGGAGCTAATGGTTTTCCACCCGGCTTTGAAAGGCTGTAGCTGCGTGCCTGTGAGAAGGCACAACTGTCAGAAATTGTGTAAGCAATTAAAGGGACCCAGCTGTGAACTGGTGAACATCCACGTGGCCCTCGAAGCAGATAGGGCTGCATGTGCAGCATCAGCCTGTGATCTGTAGAGATACAGACCTCTGTCTATACGTACGTATGCATTTATAGGAAAGTAATATTTCACAATTGCAGCAGAGGCCCAAAGCATGTACCCTCATCCTGGCCTTAAGGCTGCCACATCCCTTCCTTTATTTTCTGCTGCTGCCAAGAAGGGGCTGGCTGTTCCCTGGGCTTTCTTCCCAGCCCAAGTCATGATGTGTGCTCTTAGGGACAAGGATGAGCTCTTCCCCTGCTCTCATCTCCTCATGGCAGCTGGGGGCTGAGCGGTGAAAGCCATGAGAACAACTTTGGAAGGTCCTGGGGAAAGGGAGAGGGCACGATCAGAGTCTGGCCCCATTTGCTCTGAAGTGCCCTTCTGACTGCCCTGTTGGCACTGGCACTGCTGCCCAGAGAGCTGTGGGTGCCCCATCCCTGGAGGTGCTCGAGGCCAGGTTGAATAGGGCCCTAGATAAGATGGGTTGGAGCTGCATAGGTTTAGAAGGTCCCCTGTAACCCAAGCAATTCCATGACTGACCTTGGGCCTTACCTCTGCCTTCTTTGTAGCTAAAATCTCTGCCTTGTGACAAACAACTGCTCAGTTTCAGGAGTCAAAAACCCCTTGGGGATGGGCTTCTCTGTGGGGAGCAGAGCGGTGCTTGCCTCTCTTCCACCCAAACCTTCTGGTGCTGCCTGGCCATTCTCTGAAGCTTGGTGGGATTTGACCCAGTGCTACAGCTGTAAATCTCAGGTGTTTTCACCCAACCTGTCTGTAAACATCTCCAGTGCTGAGGTTCAGCTGGAGTGCCCAATCCCAAATTGTCTTGATTCATCTCTACTGCAAAGAAAGCAGTTTTCTGACATCTATGCTAAAGTTTGTTGCTGCTCCTGAAGCCTATCACTTCTTCTCATAGAGAATGAAGAGTGCAACCTTTTCCACTTAACCACCTGAAAATATTTGTGAAAAGCTCTGCCATCTTTTCTCTAGGCTGAATACCTTCAATCCCTTTGGTGTTTTTTTTAATTTTTAATTTCATGTTTGAGCAATTTCTCAGACCCAGAGCCACCCCATGTGCAGCCAAGGCCGTGCTCCCAGGCAGACCCAGGCATTGCTCCATGTCCCTGCAGACCCCATTCCCCCTGCTTCATCCCTGCCTGCAGTTTGCCATTTTTGCAGCAGTTTGCATTTGTGTTCTGCAGCTCCAGCCTTCTTACACAAGCAGTAAGTTTTCCCTTTGTTTCCAATGAATTGCAGTCTATTGATTTATTTTTTCCAAGCCGTTTCTCTAATGCATCAAGTTTGTTTTGAAGTTTCAGCCCATGCTCCAAAGTGCTCAAAGTCCCTCCCAGCTTGGTATCATTTGCAGCTGCAATAAGCAG